CCCGTCAGGACAGCTGCCTGGGCCATGGGATGCACCTACTGAACTACTACAGTAGTACTTCCCATGATCCAACTACTGTACAAGCAGAAATATTCGTCTGGAATTTAATTTCGTCTTTTTAGTCCAAGGAGCTTTTGGACTAAATTAAATGTAGGACGAATATCGATTTGTCCAGCTTTTCTATACACTCTTATGATCCATGGACGAAATTTTCAACCGGACGAACTCCTTTTCTTTGGAGTTGGACGAAATAATTATTGGCGACGAAATTTTCTGCCTTACAGTAGTTAGTTTGTGGAGGGTAAGTCCCAGCATGCAAAGCACAAGGCACGTGCAGCACAGTAAGGCAGGCACCTGCTCATCCCAAACAAGGAGCAAGGCCTGACACCATGGCATGCACACTGCACTACTCAAAGTTACAGAAGAGAGCACTTGAAAACTCAACACTTGGAGTGTCTGGTACTCGACTTTGGAGAATCCAGAATAGGAGCACTTCAACACTGACAACAATCTCTAGTCTCTACTCTGCTCAGTACTCAGTAGATCTACATGACTGTATCCCATACCACAGCACTGTACATGTAGAGCAACTGTTATTGTGAGTGGTGGCAGTGCAGGCTGAGTTAGTGTGTACCTACTTATTGTTTTAGCCAAGGATTTTATCATTTTCTGCTCAGATCAGTTGTCACAGCCAGGAAGTGAAGACTTCAGGCTACATCATGATAATATCTAGGAGTGGCCACCATGCTCACACTAAAACACTAATGCGTAATGGACTTCCTGGGAACTAGATCATGCGACCTGCTAAATCACCTGAGACATTCCGGCTGACAGTGCTTGGCCGCCACGTGCAGCAGAGTGTCACCGCTGCGTGAGGTCACCTTGCAGCCTCGATGCACACTGATCTTCAGGCACTCCAGATGACCGGAGATCGCCGCTCGATGCGCCGTGTACGGCACCACCGACGAACAATCGGGGCAAATTCCGCTCTTGGTCAGCGCACCGTTCTCCGACAAAATGCGCCCTCCTCCATTCTGGTCCGCTGTGTGAGTGGGCGTCAGGGCTGAGGACGACATCCCGCCTCGGCGACCTAGTGAGAAGAACAGAAAGAGAAAAAAAAGATCGCAAAGAGAGAAGTAGTATATTAGTATAACACGACTGTGCAAGAAAAAAATGGAAAGAGCGTGGCGAATACGATTATCACTGTCCAGTGCTCAATGCATGGGCACGGCGCTGGCTGTTTGCAGTGCCCCAGTGCCAGTGGTAGTGACTCTGCGAGCCACTACTCGTACCGATCGTAGTATAGGCAGTACATGATAAGTCATTGTAATGACTTCGCTAAATCATTCAGACGATATACGGTGACGGAGCCGGCGGAACAAACAACACAACACGGAGTAATCATCGACAGCCTACAAGATGGAATCCACGCGCAAGCAGAGCGAATGCAAAGGCGCGCGAATATTTTTATGTTCGGATGGAACGACAAGCCAGCATGCATGCAGCAGATAAAGGATCGATGTCTCGCGTCCGAAACACAATCAGTGTTCGATCAAGTACATTGAAGTAGCTGCTAACACACGCACGTGCTTACAGACGCATCCTAATCCCTCCTTGCTCCAGCCGAGGCCGAGGGTGTCCAAGTCCTCCGCTATGCCTAAAGCCATTACATCAAAAGTCTCCGGATCGAATGCACCGTCAACAATATCCCTAAACTACTTTTTTTTTAATTCCTATGTTGATTCTTGACGGGAGAGACCCACTACCGGTAACTACTTCGTCGGCTGCCGCTGAATCCTGCAATGTCCATCGTGTCTGCACAATTATTTCAAAGAACAGTTCAGCATCACTACACCAGTCCGAGCGTGAACAAGCCTCCGATAAAATAATTCGTGAGCTGCAGAGGCACCTAGGCTAGAGTATCTACACGTAACACGAAAAGCTGGATTCAATCGTAGATTGTCGATGTCGTGCTTTGGCTTTGGCTTAGCGCCTGACCTCGGCCTAGGCTAGATGTTCATACTGACACCATTTGATCTTACTCACCTGAAAAGAGAGCAGCTGTGGTGTAGGCCCTAGGCCAGGGGTAGATCTACCACACAGGATGCTAACTTTGTGTTCTTGTTGTTGTTACGTGCTAGGAATTACCTTGCCAGACACGGTGGCTACAGGATATTACTACACAGATATTCTGAAAATTCAATTCAACACTCGGGCGAAACGCTTTCCACAAGGGAAGGAAATCGAGAAAACGATGTGTGGCACAGCACACGGCGATGCTTCCTTCGGGTACCGGGTCCACCCTGAAGTGATAGCGCTAGCGGGCGACACTCCAAGATAGATGGACTTCTAATCTGCACTTCCGAACTACCGGCGCACTGCGCACTGTACTACCTAACCTTGCGCCCGCTCCTAGTCCTGTTCCAATAATAATAATAATAATAATTCGCGGGATTCGCGTTGGCATCGCTTGAATGTTCAGAAACACACAAACTAGCCTTCGCTTCCGCAGGCCACCGGCACTATGCCTATGTTCTAGTGTTAGTAAATCATTAATCTACTCGCCTGGAATCGACGCGACCCTGAGTCCTGAGACTGAGACACGGCGCAGCAGAAAACAAGGCTACAAGGCGTGTCAGCGTCACCTTAGCGCTCTCAACGCAAACGTGAACACATGAAAGCCTTGGAATGTTTGAAGGCTGATATTCGATTTCCCTTTTCAAAGAGCGCGGCCAGTTCGATCTAGCCCCGGCCCCCAGGACAGGTAAAGCTAGAGGGCCTTGGCCTGACTACTTCTCTCTCACACGTAACATTTACATCTCTGGGACCTGTACAAGCCCGTCCGACTGGGCCATGGAAGCTCCGGAGACTAGCCACCGCCTTGCACAGCTAACGTATCCAGTATCAGCGTCACGTCGGATCTGACAGGTAAAATGTCCAAGTCTTCCGTATTTTTATACCAACACCTGCTTCGGAGCTCTGCTCACTGCCAACCACTTCGCACGCCACCGTCAGGTACTCGCTCGAGCAGGCAGTCCGTACCACAGCATCTCCGACTCATAATAATTATCAGGGCAAATGGAGTTCTGCACCTGTTGCGCGCAAGTGATATGACGCCTGACGGTCATCACTCATCAGCGTACTAATGAACATCGTCAATACTTAACTGAATGACACTCGACAGCGGTTTAAAAATATCTGCGAACCAAATAATTGTAATCGCTAACTACTAATACTATTAGTACTAACTTTCTTCTTATTTCATTTTCAGTATGTACTACATAGTACAGTCATGTAGATGTATCTGACACCTTGGCGAGGTAGACTGTAGACAATTGCATTCCAGAATAATGGCTGTTGTCCAGTGTTCGACTCAACAATGGAGGTTGACTGCGGGTTTGCAGAGTGCTCGACGTAACGTCGTTGTTTGCTACAACAAGTAAGTAATTACATGGCACTGACTCACAGAGCGCAGCCTTTGCGCGTCACAGTCGCCGCACAGACCCCTGTCAGTCAGTGCCAAATACTACACTAGTCTACAGCGGTTTATTCCAAGACTACCATAATGATCATCCGGGGAACCAACCTGACCGTCCCTGGTCACAAGGACTTAGGTATCACTAGCACTGCACTGCCGTCAGTGCAATGTCAATGACACTGACAGTCAGTGACAAGCATCAGTGGCCTTGAATCAGGTGTGTTTTGATCAAAATCAAAATATTTGCCAGATAAAGATTGGAAGGAAGGATCAACTGCCAGTGCAGTGTGCATGTGGTGATCATGGTGACGGTGGTGGTCAAGCGTCCGTATCAGTCACAGATTCGGAGCACCATTACATTGTTTGTACATGTAGATGCTTCCAACGCTGCAACGCTGAGATGTTCCAAGAGCTAGTACAGGAGTTTCCAGGGCAGGCAAATCACAGGTCTTTTAAAAAAAAATTAGCCCCTGGAAAAGTATACTGCTAGTGCTATGCACATTTCGTTCTTCAGCACATACACGCACACGTGATGATACTGCACTCCAGGCCAAAATTAGACTCCTTGAAATCCCACCCAGCCTAGCCCAGATGAGCCAGTGCAAAGACTTAAGTACAATGTACTTAGTAGCAAGTGTCATGATAAGGCAAATTGCATGCAATTGCGCAAGTGGAGAGGGATGATGACCTACATTATAGTCGTTGAGTGTCTGAAGTTGAACACATGTTTTCAAGTGTTCTCCTAGATGGCCTAATACTAATAAAAGAAACTCCAAAAAGGACCAAACCCTATATTTGTAGCGAGTCCTGCTTGCACTGTCCACACATGCAACAGTGAGTCCTGCTTGCACTGTCCACACATGCAACATCCAGCACACGTAATAAGATGGCCGGTTTGCGTTCGCTGTACCGACAGTGGGAGATCATAGATCCAGGACTGACAGTCCGGCACCATTGGGTATTTATCGATGGGTTTACACTGCGTAATGGCCACTGGCGACTAGGTCCGGTCTGAGCTACACAATGTACCTACCGACCCCTATGCCTCTGACCACTTGCAGAAGAAACACACGTGTACATGCATGTGTATGTGCTTCAAAGTATAAGAAGTACATACATGCAGTGTGTACATGCAGCCATGGCTGTCACATGCCCCTATACTACTATACATAACAGTTCTCATGTCCAAAGAAGACCAGGACTGCAGGAGCATCATGCATCTGCCAATAATTCTGGTGCTGTTCAATGAAATGCACTTGCACTAGTCAAGTACATGTATGCATCCGGTGGTTGAGCCACAAAACATGATTGTCTGTATGGATTTGGCCCATACTTCACCTGCCTGTGCAGTGCACGCCTGAGGAATCATAACCATGCCCACTTCAACAGGGTTATGCTCTGTCAACTTGAAGTCATTATAGTCTGGACAGTGTCCCGATTACACTGTCTACTAGTTGAGAAGTTTGCCTCTATTTGATAACAAACTGGGTGTTGGAAACTGGGTGATGCAAGGGATGAAGAACTGTATACTAGTAGTTGTCACATGACTTTTCAAAACACAACGCACAACCAAACACCAAGTACATGCACTCTACTTGATGCTGCTCACTTTCCAAGTATGCTGCATGAGTACTGTATCGACCAGTCCAGCATCAATGATACAGACTCCTGACAACATGCATGTCCAAACAAATTATTCCCGTGGTAGAGCAGATCTACGATTCCGATCCCTTCCCCATTCTTCAGCACTGTGGCAGTACTCTGTTACTTATACCAAAAGCAAATGGATATCTTTTCGGTTTTTACCAATTGACAACTTGACTGACCTTTGCGTTTCTTCGTCCTTTTCGAATGCCTATGCACCAGTCGCGGATTGCGCTTGAACACCTTCCGAAGGTTGCGGACCAAGTCGCGAACGCTTCGCTGCTTTGTGGACACGTGCCTGTGCAGTTGTTTGCAGTGGTACCACGGTTTCTGACCCGGCCCCATGGGCAGAGAGGACAAGCTGAGCTGCTGAATGCGCTTAGGGGCGTAGCGCCGGTCAGACGGGGGATTCTGGAATGGATTGTCGGCCGCCTCGTCACTGAGATCGAGCGTAGAAAGTGTGCCCGTGCCTGCCAAACTGAGATTAGTGGCCTGGGAGTCAGATCGTGTGCCCGTCCTCAAGCGTACTAGTTGCGAGTCCGGTCTGCCGAGGATTGGTGATGCTGTGGCGTGTGATGTTGCATCATCGTTCGGCATGGTACAGTGAATCTCCGGGGTTGTGGACGAGTGTGGAGTCCTCCTTCCCGTGCCATGGCATGCATGGTGGTAGCTTAGACTGAAGAAGAAGAGAGGGAGAAAGAAAGAGAGAGAGAGAGAGAGAGAGAGGGGGGGGGGGGGGAGAAAGAGAGGAAAGAGAGTCATTGCAAAAGTGCACCATTTTCACGCGTTCTTCTTCAGTAGGAAAACACCCCGTACATGGACATGGACATACTCACTTGAAAATGTACTTGTAGTACCTAGAGGCATGCTGGCAATATGAAGCGGCTAGTTTTCACCATGCTTGCTACATGCATGGCTCGCTGACTGCTGTCGTTTCATTGAACGAACAAGAGCAAGAACGAGTCTTGTTCCGAACAGATCACGGTTAATTGGGAATGCTCAACTACTTATCCTCCTGCTTGGTGAAGTTCTAGTCTTTTCATTCTTCACGGGGGATGATTCTTCGGCGCCCGACACTACAGTACTACTGTAAGACATGTTATTATAACGAGTCGCAAATTGAACGATTGTCCAAAATTCATAGGTTAACGAGAAGATATGCTAACAATTTTGCAGTATTACGCCATATCCGCACACGACATAATTATATGAAGCCATGCGGACTAAACGGATCTTATTGTAACGAAGAAATGTCATCCGTTAAAGCGTTAGATTTACTTCCTCGTTATATATACATGTCTTACAGAACTAATATACTGTACTGTACTGTGGTGTATTCATCTGTCAGGATTGGGGTTTCCTGTGGAAAGCTGTATCCTGGTTCTCTACGAACACCTCAGCCAAATGGCTCGATGCTGTCAAGATTGTGGATCGCGCCGCTTTTCACTGGCGTTCAGTATACTGCTTGGCCGCTTAGTTTGAGGGGTTTGCAATCCACATTATACATGTGGATCAGGTGCAGCTCCGTACTTAGTTATGGCGTGAGGCTGTCACTCACTGTCAATGCCTCAGTGTGTGACTGTGAAATGAGTCTGTGACGTGACCTTGAAGGAACACGTTAGTTGCTCGAACAGACACACGTAAATGACGTGCACAGTCATTATGTCCCATGATGATAACTAACCACTTACTTAGTAAGTTAGTACATGTAGTAATATTATTATTAGTAGCATAAAGTAGTAAAAAAGCATACAGTACTGTAGTAGTCTGTTGGCTCAGAAAAATGAGATGATTGATGGAGTTGGAAACAACAGGAAATCCCCATAGGCGGATGCAGAGTGACACGCACCCACCACTAGTGCACTACGGCTACGCACTAGCACAGCGCGGTCATGTGAACTCTCTGTGACTAATCGACATGACAATGGGGCTGTTAAGTGTGACGTCACGGCCCCTTCGATACGCATAGCAACGGAGAGCACTGGGGACAAACAAAAGTCGCGTCCTCTGGATGGAACCAGTTGTGAAGGGCAACAGCATCTAAATGACTGGAGAGAGAGCAGTTTTTCTTTGCTTTTTCGTCAAGCGATTGTTGTCGCTCTTTACTCCTTGTTCTTTACTCTACAAATCTCCTGTAGTCGTCGAGGGCCTTCATAATGGCTGTGAAATTGGCTGCCCACTGTAAAACTCCGTGTTTGAGAGTGCTTTGAAGATTCTTCGCCTCCTGATGGATCAAAGTACGAGCGCTCCCTGTGGATTCGATTATATGTAGGTGAGTTGTTCAAGAAATCAGTGTCTTCTTTCTGTCTCTGCCCTCACGCTGGCACAATATCAGCCTCTATATCCATGACAGCCCGCACCTCTCGTAGACTGCATGACTTAGCTGTATTCTCGCCCTCCGTGGTGATTGAAGACCCATGGAAGAAGTTGTTCAGAATGATGTCCTGAGAATATAAAAATAAAATAATTCCAGGGAATTGTTACAGGGTATTTTGGAAGGATGGAGAGAGAGAGAGAGAGAGAGAGAGAGAGAGAGCACTGTTTGAAGTGTTTGTCTCACTGTAATTACTCCAGATTATTGAATGGTGTATGATCTACTCGATATTTTCCGCAATGGTTTTTCCTGATTTGCGGGATCTCTTCTTTTGCTGTTTGCGTGTTTACAGGAAGTGACTGTCTGGTGTATCTGCACCAGATCCTGGGGAAATGAAGTCAGATGCAGAGGCAGGGTCGTCCAGTGATGCAACACTGCCGTTCTATGTGCAACGGCACCGCTAATTCCCCCGGCGAAAACACAAACACGTGAAGAGACTACAGTATTGACCGTTCTGGTAATGAATCGTGACTGCTCGGACAGTCGATAATCGAAACACAGAGCACCAGCATGATGTTTTCATATTGGGAACCACACACCAGCTCAATTCTCAAGCCCAAAAATTGATTAATACAAAACACAGAGCGACGCAACAAGAGATCATCCGGCAACCAAACCAACCTGGGTCTGATGCACTGAATAGTCCTGAAATACGCAGGCCACACAAAGCAGTGCAAGCACAGACTGTTACAAGGTACATGCATTGCAGAACAAAGTGTAACCAAAGATACACAGGGTTATAGCTGCACACTCGTGCATGTGCTCACTCAGCCCAAGAACACGCAGGATGATAGAAATAATCCGGGGGAAACACGCTAATGTCATGACCGGGGAGTGGGCCAGACATACTCTCAGGATTCTACAATTCCAGGTTCTTTACGGAAATATACCAGAAGTCCAGATACCCATTCCTCACCCTCACCACACAAGAAGACCAAAGCTTCACTCTAGGACCAAGCTCAAACAACAGAGAAGCAACAAGAACAACAACAACCAGCGATCGATGCAAAGCATCGAGCTATATACTACAAGACCTAGTAGCGTGCACGGCGCGGAGCGAGCGAGTAGCCAGCAAAGCATAAATAGTGATAGGTTTCACAACACTATTGATCGACAAGACACATCGCCGCCAAGGCAAACACTTCATAAAGACACATGTATAAGCAGACGGAATACAATACAGATAATGACATTGTAGCAACACACGGACACGACACTAGCACCGAAGTAAGCATCAAGACGTAAATAGTGCAGCTCTGAAAAAGTAAAAACTACATTGACATGTACATTGGTGTGCCGAGTAGTATCATCCTTGATCACCCATCCAACCAAGACGTTATCAGGTCCCAGACGCCGAGATCCCACGCCGAATGTGAAGTGCATCTAGCCTTGAACCTGTTGCACAAGGCACACACATTATGAAAAAAATGACATCCACTCCGATTATTTCCAGAGGCCAATCATAACAGAACACAGAAATGAAACCACGGGCTCAACAAAGTAAACGCAAAGGAAATTAGTTAAAATAATCCATGAAGTGTTTAATTCCAGCGCTGACTGCAGTGTGGCGTCATGGCCCGATACCCGCTGAGCATAGACACAAACTCCATTTGACAGGGGCACGACATACTATTTTGGAATAAAGTCACAGGGGCGTAGCACCCGCTACGACTGGTACGACCATGGCCGCACCACTTTTCGAAAAGTGTGGTCCGTCTGGAACGTGCAAAACCGTAATAAAAAAAAATCAGGATCCATCGATATTTGCATATGCGCATCAGACCTTTTTCTAGACTCGTACTTGTAGATCTGTTATGCATCTGCAGTCGTACTGAGTACTGTACTCGACTCGACTGCACACTGCGCCAGAAGTGTGCCAGAAGTTCCCAGAACGCAGGATTTTGTGTCTTTTACAAAATTTTCCCGGGGGGGGGGGGGGCGGACCCCCTCCAACATGGCCTTCCGCTGCACCGACCTTCGGTCGTACCACTTCCAAAACCCCTTCTACGCCCGAGTCATAAAGTACAGCACTCCGATGACATGACGGACACCTCGTGCAAATGCGTGGTCTGTTCATCCGGCCAACTCGGCCACGCATGAGAGTGTGTGCATGTACGCGCGCACGCAAGCGCGCACGTGCACACACACACACCATGTATTCGGTGCGTATGGCGTACCTGTTGCGGAGATAAATGAAGATGGAATCATTATCATGATGTTACATGTACATGTACAGTGTATGTTTGAGTGTAAAGTAAATTTTATTTTATTACACATTTCTTCGACACAACTTACTCCACATCTTCGCATTTCTCATAATCCATCCATCTACACTCCGTCTCAGTTGAGGAAAATTCTCCCAGGTATACACTAGTCACCACAGCCATGTGATGACATTGGGATGGGCCCCAAGCACGACTGCACTCTCCAGTTACAATATAATTTATTTGTCCAGATTATCTGTGAAGACAAAATGCAATGCATAGCGGCAATCGATGGATGAAGAGAGAGTTTGTAAATACACATATCTTTCCACTTGTTCAGGAGCTTACCTTTTGGAGTTCACATCGTTTGCACGATCTCTTATGCTGTCTTGCACCTTGGCTTTGTTGACCATGGATACGCCATCCCAGAAGACATTCTACAGGAGCTACTAATGCAGAGCGTTTTTCACGCTCGATCTCGGCGATCTACCTCGTCACGCCAATAAAATCCTCCGTGACACTGGCTACAGTCACAAGAGACGTCTCAGTAAGGTAATGAGCACGACAACGCCGTCGAGATCAAGGACAAAGAGAAAACAAAACACTCACTGAAAACAGCAAAGAAGAAACGAAGAAATGTACACGATTCCTATATGTTGCCACTGACAACTGGTTCGGTGGAGACGACGCTACTTTTGTTTGTCCCCAGTGGGATCGTTGCTATGCGTAGAGAGTGACGTCATCACTTAACAGCCCCATGGCCCATCACCTGATCACGAAGGTGTGCATCCGGATGCAGAGAGCATGCAGTCAGAGCACACACTCCCATCTCTTAGCCTGTCAAACCCTATAAGGCTATATATAGGGTTTTCAGCCGCGCGTTCTATCTTGAGCTCTCTTGAGAGCCCACTTGGCTGCTATGGCAACTAGACGCCTGGGCCTACATACGTAGAATGTACGTACGGTTCTCTTGCTGAAGACCGTGATCATTTTGTTGCTGTTTTCTTCGAGTACGGTTAGTTTTAGTGCAGCGCTGTCGTAACATTTTCTAGACCCTATATCTAGGGTTTGATTTTTCACGATGGAGGAAGAGCAACTTGAGTTAGTGGAGACGAACTCGGGCGATGAGAATGTTCCTGGCGACCTGGTGTCGACTCAGGATGATGATGTCGATGTTCCAGCAGCGTCGGATGCTCCTGAAGAAGAAGGCGAAGCATCAACAGCGGCTGTCGCAGCTGCCGCTCCCGCCATTGCCGTTTCTGCATCAGCTGATCCACACGTGGGTCGGAAGCAGCAAATGCGGCGACACTCGCGCACGTCGTAGGAGCGCTCCTGCTAACATCAATGGCAATGCAGTGAAAATATCAAAAAAAAACAAGTGAAACTGTGTGTATTGTGTGCCCAGTTGTGAGGACTGATCAAACCCTTTCTTTAGGGGTCCTAACCCTATATATAGGGTCTCTATGTGTAGCGTTATGTCAAACCCTATATATAGGGTTTCCTGGTGACAGGCTAAGAGATACATACTGAAGGTCATAAAATTATACTTGTAATGACATCTCATTTCTTTCAATCGCAGCTTGACAGCGTGTACGATGGTGTACGTGCGCGAGCGAACGGCCCAAGCAACACGAAATCGTTGAATGGCGTTACATGTCCAAGTAAGGTCGTTTTCATCAGGGAGTCTGAAAGCCCTTTAACCTGTTTTTCATGGTTTGGCACTACATTCTACAACGCTAAGTGTGTCGAGAGTGGGCGTTTTGACCAGTCCAAAAAAGACGTAGCCACACGAATTCACCCTCGTCCAACAACTGAAGCCATTTGGAACAGACTAGTACGCAACCTCTACCGAACGGCTAAACGTCTACAAAAAGAAATAAACAAAAGAGACCATTGAAGTGTCGGAGGCAGGGAGTCGTAAAATACGACTCCCTGGTCGGAGGGGTTTCATTGTGCCAGACACATGTACACACATTTGGAGAACAAAAAAGTCAAACTCCAATTCAAATGTATGGCTCGATATCAATTTTTAACGTAACGTCGTTACATAGACTACATAGTCATTACACGCTCAACAAGTCAACATGACAACTGTTATGTTTACCTTCGCATTTGTGCGCCCGTTGGCACTGGAGTCGAACGCTTTCCCTCGGTACAACCTGCAGGGTGATGCTGCATAGTGTGCTCGCAGGCGGAAGCGGCTAGCGGATGTACTACTCTACAGTTATCAGCAGCCATTCTCGCCACATCAGGCGCACGGTGGCCGTGCTGCTGCTGCTCCGAGTCGGAAAAGGTGGAGGTGCCCAGAACACCTTCTTTGCTGTCAACCTCTCCAACAACCATACTACTATTCGCAGAGGTGAACACAGCTGGTAGATCCACCACAAACCGACAACCTTGTTCGCTCCTGTGCACACTCAAACTGAGCTCTTCTGGAGTCATGACCGACTTTAGAATGTCCGTCCGGAGCAGGATCTAGGAGTAGGAGAGGGGGCGAGAGAAATCACGCGATTGGCTAGCGTCTAAACTCTGCGCTATGCACGCACCGCGCTCCCAAGCGATGTGTACTAGTAGTCAGAATCGACCCAGAAATTTCTTGGTGCGTGGTCATGTCTGCCGCGTACCTTGTTACTTCAAGCAATCAAGTCAAGATGATAAATGCGCGACACGAGTGGACTTGGGGATGAATCGATGAATGGTTTTGACTCATGTAGTCTGTACTGTACTTTTCTTGACATTCAGCGATCAAGCCACTCATCAATCAAAAGTATTTAGCGCGGTGTTGATTACGTGCATAACATGTACAATCATCGTTTGAGAGGGATAGCTCTCCAGCCTACAATGCTACATGCCATAACGCCTAATGCGTGTTGCATGACAAGACGTGACCAGGGTGACAGCTTGGCCTTTATTTCTAGGAAAGAGGAAGAACGAATGTCTGTAACCGCCCGCAGTAGGCGTTCAGGCAGGGTAGTTCCACTGAAAAATAATGATACTTGTAGACTGTGTACTGTCTTGTACAAACGACTAAAAACAACACGATACTACGACAACGTAACGTTGTATGTAAAGTGAAGAAAAGGCAATAGCAATACATAGTCACTGTACTTGAAATAAGTACTTGTTATAGAGAGATAATCAGTATACAGAGAGATAATTATAGAGAGCGGAGTTCTACATTGTACATTCACGGTACATGTACATACAGGCACATTGTAGGTAAGGATTGCCCAAAGGCAGGGGTCTTCAGGATTTAGACTTACATGCATACTTGAAGTTATAGAACTAAGGTAACAGTACTAACTAATGACAAAGAGGGAGAGGGAGGGAGAGGGAGAGGGAGGGAGAGAGAGAGAGGGGGAGGGAAGGAGGGAGAGTAAGTTACATTTATAAAGACAGGTAGACAGGTAAGTCTAACAAATGAGGACTGATACCTCTACAACAGTCTAGGTGTTATGCGTAGATGGAGATAAATCATGTGCGGAATTGAGAGAGAGAGAGAGAGAGAGAGAGAGAGAGGGGGGGGGGGGGGAGGAGGGAGAGAGAGAGAAGGTGGACTGTCTTTTTTCAGTTTTTTGCTTTCCGATTTGATCATGCATTGAAGCAGCATTTTACCTTGAGAAACAACCCGTGGCATACATGTACGTGTAACAACAACAAGATCCGTATCAGTGGGTCTGTCATACCCATGTGATAATACGGGCAAGAAAACACAAAGGAACACCCCCCACCCGGTACCCCCCAATGCAGGAGTTCAACTAAGCTATCCGATTTCGATTCATTAACGGACAGTTATTATTTTGACATGAAGTGCCAAACGGGGACGTGAGAGACAGCGCGTCGCACAAGGATCTACAACTCAAGTGAGTGAATCGGAAAGGCTCTGTTTGGAAAGCCGCACGACGCGAGCGGATGAGAGTTCAAAGACTCAAGCAGAAAGTGCGGGAATTTACCGGGAAAGGTGCATACGTTCTGAAAATGTGTCTACTCATTACTGTGGATCCAGTTCTGCTCGGCTAGTGCAGCACCCCATCGCCACCCCTGCCTTGCATTGCAGCCCCATCCAGTCAATGTCTTGTTTATTAGTCTGTTGTTTTGGGTCATTTTCTCCTTCTCCAGCCAAGTTCTTGTTTTACGAATTGGGTGTGTGGTCATTCCAAACTCCGGAATCCCATGACGCTACGAAGCATGAAGGCGAATTTGACAATGTCCCATGTCATGGGAATTCGTCCCCACCACAACTGGCATAATCTAACATACGATACAGTGTAGCTCTGGCAGCTTCTGATTCCCAGGGGTGAGAACGACCTACAATTGTCTGTACATGTACATGTAGGAGGAGCATGAAGTTGTCTTCCAGGTGTCGGAGCATAGTAAACTGTTATACATGTAGTATCGACATCCTTGTAGTGCACGTGGTGCACATTAGGATCAATGTGACATCATGCACTCATCTTGCCAAAGATTCCGACGGAAAAGTCACTCTCTGCAGAGAGCCTGTAGAGAGCCTGTAGAGAGCCTGTAGAGAGCCTGTAGAGGTGTTTTGCTTTCGAGTTTCGACTATGTTCTGAACTGGCACGCGAACACGAGCATACTACATGTACATGTAGTATCCGGTGATGGTCCAAAGCACAGACGCGCCGTATTGAGGAGTAGGGCGTGACTTATAGCGAAAGCTGAAACAGGCGCTCGATGTTGGCACATACATGTACCTGATACTAGGTGACAATAGTCATTGGTGCACCAGCACTGCCGCTGCATGACCAGTTGGCAGCAGCTAGGAGTCTCAGACGATACTCAAGCACCTTACCAGTGAAGTAGAAAGATGTTGCGACATCGGCGGTTTGGAGCAGACCCTTTCTTCTTACCAGTTACTTCGAAGATTACCGCAAAAACATGCACAGGACCCAGGAGCCAGACTTTGGGGTTTGTTCCTGAACACTGGTCCTGTCGTCCAGGTGTGTGTCAGCAGCACAACTAACTAACTAGCTTCCACAGTGAGTCTTCTTACCCGACGATATACAATACATGTACATGTAGCTCTCAGTTGGGCATGACATAATTATTAGTTACTTTGTTTCGTGTACAGTAGCCAAGTACATGTAGGTCCTTCTTGTACATGCATCCGTTTTCACATTGAATGTGGTTGATTAGGCCAAAGATTAGTAAGAAGGTGCAAATACTCGGCTCGCTGTCGCCAGGGTCGGGGGATTGAGTAGTCATGTATTCTTCATTGCCAACTCCAACTAACTTACATGTACATGTACTTGACCGTAAGTACAATATCAGACAAGTATTCTTTCTAGACCAAGAGTGGTATACAATCATATATGATTATTAAGATAGAAATCATGGTTTACCATATTTTTCCAGACGTTTCGTTTTTCTGAAAACAACATCGTCAACATCGTAAGTACAATCATGTACATGTATATGTAGATCAAGTACAATCATGTACATCTACATCTACATCTACATGTACAAGACAGTACAGTAGATCATATTCATAGGCTACTACTATTACTAAGTACTATACTATACTACAAGAACTGCTGGAAACCGGAAAGGACCACCAAATCCCCTAGCGCACTAGTCTAGACTAGAGTGATGTTTTGTGTTGTTTACCCACAGTTTTCGAGTGGCACTTCAGTCTTCATTCAGCTGATCAGATCAGGAAATAAGACATGATTTGCACAATATGTACATGTACAATTATGTATTAAAGTTCGCACGCGCATCTTGTACTTATCCCCCCCCCCCCCCCCCCGACACCCACATCAAGGCACACGAAAGTGGGGTTGCATTCTGCTGCTTTGCATAATTATACCGGTACATGTACAGGACGTGAACTCAACGGTTGGTGTTTATTCACACCATCACGCATCATAATTACATTGTGTCCAGGGACGGGTGATAAACCGTCTGTGCAGATACGTATATACATGTAATAAATGTAGAGCCGAAGGATTTATTGCAATTACATACCAGTATAAAAACCGAGGTCCCCCGAGGTTTTTATAACTGGTATGTAATTGCAATAAATCCTGAGGCTACTACATTTATTATACATATGTTGACCTTCGCTTTCCCTAAAAAGGAGTATTTTATAAACAGTATTTATTGGCCTTTAATAGTGGTATTTTATGAACAGTATTTATTGGCCCAAAAGCCAATAAATACTGTTATAAAATACTCCTTTTTAGGGAAAAGTGCAGTGCTGCATGGAAAAGTACAGTGGTATTTATTGAGTGAAGCAAGTTTATTTGAATTTGATACTGTTGATGGTGTGGTCACTAATGAGTGTGGGTATTTATCAAAGGTCAATATGTACATGTATAGGATATTGACCAAGACGAGGTCTATAATGGGAAATACATGTATAGGCCGAGTAAAAGACCGAGGTCCGCCGAGGTCTCGGCTGGGTGGTATAAGGGGTTGCTTGAGATTCATACTGTTGTGAGTTCAAATCCTGCTTGTTCTCTTTCTTTGTCTTCTTTCTTTCAATTTTTCTTTTTGAAGTGGAGAGAAAAATTCTAAGTCCCTCCAAAGTCGAAAGATAACAATGCCTAAGTGGTCGATACAAGCGGTCGATATAAGGCCGAGTAAAAAAAATTACTAGATGATCGTCCTTTTTTTTGGAAAAATCGGGGAGGGCGGGAGGATTTTATTTTTATTTTTTTACTTTTTACCCTCTCATGCACACAGTGTACACAACAACATCAAGGTTTTTTTTCTCTTTTTTTCTTTTTTTTTCTTTTTTTCTTTTTCTTTCTTCAGCAGATCGATACTGACGTTGTGATATACTAGTAGTATGTGGTCCATATACATGTAGTAAAACTCACGATTTAAAAAATAAAATATTTCTTGGGGCGCTGACAAAAACTGGGGCGGACGGGGACGATCATCTAGCTTTTTTTTTTACTTGGCCTAAGCGGTCGATATTGCGGCGATATGGGTAATATCAAGAGTACATAACCCCCCAGAGTGTGCAACGCCGATCCAGCTCTGTGTAGGGTCTTGGTCGAGCGGAATCGGATCTTCTGATGTCATGCGTACACTTCACACCAGCGCAAGGCCGGTCTCGAGGCAGGGCACCATTGTTTTTGATCCAAGAGTACCCGCGACTCCCCGGGTTCCCCTCATATGTGTACGGTATTATGACGCAAAGATCCGATTCCGCTCGACCAAGACCCTAGCTATGCAGAGCTGGATCAGGCGTTGCACACTCTGGGGGGTTATGTACTCTTGGTAATATAGGACCAGTCAAGGATCATCATCACTCTTCTATATCGACCTCCACTAATTCTCGTGATCCTTGACTGGTCCTATATTACCAAGAGTACATAACCCCGGGTTATGTACTCTTGATATTACCAAGAGTAGATTTATCTACTCTTGATATCATCAAGAGTACATAACCCCCCAGAGTGTGCAACGCCGATCCAGCTCTGTGTAGGGTCTTGGTCGAGCGGAATCGGATCTTCTGATGTCATGCGTACACTTCACACCAGCGCAAGGCCGGTCTCGAGGCAGGGCACCATTGTTTTTGATCCAAGAGTACCCGCGACTCCCCGGGTTCCCCTCATATGTGTACGGTATTATGACGCAAAGATCCGATTCCGCTCGACCAAGACCCTATACAGAGCTGGATCAGGCGTTGCACACTCTGGGGGGTTATGTACTCTTGATATTAGGGAGGTTCCGGAGTACGATTTTTCGTGCCAAAATCCGTGGAGGCTCTACGGATTTTTTATACGTCGTTTTCGAGCAGTGAAAAGTTCCGGGGTACGGAACTTATGTGTTTGCCGTCATTGCCTAGGTTACGATCGCAAACACGTCACATTCCCGCGCTATGCCTTTCTATTTTGAAAATTTGTACCGAAATCAAAACTTCCCGCGAAGAATCGATGTTTCTCGTACCAAATTTGTACGCGAAAAATCTTTCTGCACCCGATGACGCAAAATCTCCATACGAAGCATGGTTCGTATGAAAGCCAGTCCACACGGATTCTCGTGCCGAAAAATCGTATGGAGCACGCCTGGAAAAAATCCGTAGCGCCCATACGGATTTTGGCACGGAAAATCGTACCCCGGAACCTCTCTACTACCCATATCGCCGCATTATCGCCTTCTTAGTATTTGACCCCACTAATTTCCCTGATACCTAAGCGGTCAAATATATCGCGTATTTGACTGCTTAGTCAAATACACGATATATTTGACTACTTATATTTGACTCCTTAGAACTTCCTGGACTTAGAAATTTTCTCTCCAACTTAGAAAAAGAAATTTTTGAAGAAAGCAGAAATACACAAGATGGGATTTGAACCCACAACCTTGTGAACCTCAGTCACTCTTCCTTACCACCCAGCCACTGTGCTACCGATGCTGAACCTAGTTTAAACAATGATCTTGACTTTCAATGCAGTACAATGCAGTACAGGCTATAGTATAATACTAGAATTACAAGGATATGTCGTATATGAAGAGAAACTATTGCGTGGAGAACACGATAAATAGATTATAGACCTCATAGTTGTCTATACAGGATATATAGACCTCGTAAAAGACCTCGGGGGACCTCGGTCTTTTACTCGGTCTATATATCCTGTATAGACCTCCTAACCGGTCTATAATCTATACATATCGACCGCTTATATCGACCACTTAAGCGGGATTCACAGAAGCTTTTTTGCGATGCGACACGCGATGCGACGCGATCTGCGATGGATGCGTGCGATGCGAACTCGCAAAATACCATTCACAGAAGAAGTCAGCGATGCGACAAAGTTTTGCTGATTTGGGTACGTCACCATGATATTCGCGCGGTTTGACACAACTTGTAAAATTTTATAGGCAACTCTTGCACCTTTGTACAACTTTGCTGTAGAAAAGGTCAAAATCGTACACCAAATCGCTTGTCGCATCGCATCGCATCGCAAAAGTTGAGCCAAGCTCAACTTCTGCGATGGCCTGCGATGGCCCAGTTGCGGCAGTTGCGTGGGGTGCGACAAGGCTGCGATTTGGGGTTTTCCCGGTTTCGCGCCTGTCGCATCGCGTGTCGCATCGCCAAAAAGCTTCTGTGAATCCCGCTTTAGGCATTGTAATCTTTCGACTTTGGAGGGACTTAGAATTTTTCTCTCCACTTCAAAAAGAAATATTGAAAGAAAGAAGACAAAGGAAGAGAACAAGCAGGATTCGAACTCACAACAGTATGAATCTCAAGCAACCCCTTATACCACCCAGCCACTGTGCTGCAGATGCTGAACCCTGTTGTTCTTACAGTCCTGTACCCAAAATAGGCAACATCCTATGTACACTATTGTACAAATGCTATACTAAAAAGGTTTAAATAGCTCCTAAAGGTTCAAATTTTGGGGTTATGGCAAAGGAATCGTGATAAATAGGATATTGACCTCGACTTCGGTCTACATGTATATGTATATGGGAAATATAGGCCTCGTAAAAGACCTCGGCGGACCTCGGTCTTTTACTCGGCCTATATTTCCCATATAGACCTCGTCTTGGTCAATATCCTATACATATAATTGGACATTGTATAGCCTCCTTCCTATACTATTACTAGCTATAATTAATATAATTTCCTTGGAGACAAGAATGCAATTATTATACTTAGAAGTAGGACACACGCACATGTACTTCAGCCGTTCAGACTCAACATGTTGAAAGTTTTCACTGGTATATTTTCATGCCTATAATATCATCAGGTGAAATACAGGCAAAATCCGAATAAAATGAACATGGACCGTGAATGGAGAAAACAACAGCGTCAAATGCGTGACCCATGACTCATGAGTAAACCCCAAAAGTGTGAAGTGCGGTGCAACAAAAAAAACCCCACAACAAATGCTAGTATAATTATAGCTAGCAGCTATAATATGGCTAGCTCAGTATTACATACCAGGCGACAATGATAATTGGGAACGTGCTGGTTTAGACACCGGAAAGCATTCAGTTTACTCACTGTATCTCCTTTACCCCAGTACCCGGGTTGCAAGTATGCCTTGATGATGATGATGATGATGATGATGATGATGAGTATTGACTGAGTCTTGAAAACACTTCAGTACACAGCTGTACATCCCGATGGTAGTTATGTTGCAATGCACACCGGGACACATTCCTCTACTGTCTACATAAGTCATTGCACATGTGTTTCAACCAGGGAGTAGTACAATACCGCATTGTACATGTACTACTCCCTGATTTTAACAGCATGATGTGCATGGCATTTTAGTCTTTGAACGATGGCATGCTGCACTCCCATGGCTGCTGGTCATACTGGCATGAGAAGTGGGAGGGTAGGATTGGTCGGTTTAGCTGCTTCTGCCCCGCCTCCACTGCTTCGGCCGCCATGGTTTTGTGCCTCCCTGCTATCAGATTCTCCTGCTGGCGTTTGCACCATGATGGTTTGAACTTTGTATCTTGTAAATAAGACAAGCCAGGAGCCTCCTCCTGGCTAGTGTACAAAATTAATGCATGCACAATTGTACATACCATTGGTATTGACCAGCCAGTGTTTTTTTTTTATTCTTTCATCTTCGGCGCCTGATGTTTACTGCGCACGAATACGCATAGTGGTCACAAACAGGAGGCATGGACATGTAAATCCAATGATCCAGTCTGATTTTGTCATTGCGAAAGCATATTGCCTCACACACGTAGTACAGTACCGGTACATCAATCAACACAGTCACCTAACAGCTACAGTCAGTACAATCCTGGCAAGTACAACAAGTAGAGTAGTTGTTGTGACATGTATTGCAAAATACAGTCTGCTACTACTAGTGTATGTTAGTACAATGCACACCATACTCTCTACACACCACTTAGGGACTTATTACCACTAGCAAAGAGTAGTACTAGTAGAAGGAGGTATGTAAACAGTACATTGATCACAAGTACATTGTAGCAGCAGATACAGTCAAGACCTGCTGTAGATAATTAATCGGACTTCAATAGGCCTGGGAGTTGGAGGATGACACCTTCACTGCTTCAGCAGCCCACACAGCGTGGCACTGCCTGCATCCACCCACAAGCCCTGGCTTGGCACATGGCCACATTGACTCAGTGCACTGGACACTGGGACATCAAACGTCACAACACTACACCTGGTCATGGGACACACTCCCTAGGCCCTACTGACACTGTACTAGGAGTCTAGGAGTATGCCACTACAAGCCAAGCCCCACACACATAGTGGCATAACAACAATAGTAATTGTTGTGGTACTATGTGGGACAATAGCAATTAATTATTTGACTCTGAGCGGAGGACACTGCGGACATATGGGCTGTGGGTGTGTGAGCCAGGGAGCAGCACCCCACCACCGCCACCAGAGTGGCTCTGTGAGGATTCCCCATGCAAGCCCAAGCCTGGAATGTTCAGCAGCATGTCTCCTATTCACATGCCGGCTGGTTTAGGGCCCAGCCATAGCCATGGCCGGCCAAGTTGGGCAATGCAATGCAATACAATGCAATACCAAAATTTAATGTAATTACAAGAACAATAATGTTACATACTTCATGCACACGGCACTAGACAACTGCTATTCATGCATGACCACTGTTGCACTTCCTGTTCCAGAGGAGCTCCCCCCCCCCCCCCCACAAGAAGCTTTTAAAACACTGTACAGCTGTACCTGACCCTAGACCAGGTCTGTTGACACAAACCAGTGTCTCTGGCCACTGCCAGGGGAACCCCATTCCAGAATAACATTACCTGCATCATCATACATCCACACCATACGTTGCATAGCACGAAGTCAGCCTGTTCAATGTTCAAATCCGCATCTTCCACAGCGTAGTGAAACAGTGCAGTTGATAGTACTGGTACACCAGGGTGAAATAATGTTGTGAGGGATGTCAGTTAGAGATTAGGTATCAAGGCAGAGTGCACCCACCAGTGCGGTACACGGTCACTGCATAGATTCAGCTTTGTGTCTAGCTAGTCAGTCGGGTGGACCATGGCATTTCCGATACTATCACCAGCACTATCGGCTTGAGCAGCACAAACAAGCGGTCTGCGGCACACCGGTGTAGTCCATTCGTCAGACAAGACAGTGTTGGCACGTTACTCGCACGCCACGATTCACTCGGTCTTGCTGCAGCATTCTGCGTTGACTTGGCTACTCTGGCTCCTGCAACAACCACCGCTTGCTGCCGAGCCACAGCCCGACGCCTGCCGCCCAAAGCCTGGCTCGTGGCTGTAACCCATGGCGACGCCGGTGCGACCCTCAACAATCGTCTCGGCAACAGCCGTCTGCCCGAGCTGCGGGTCCAAGCCAGACCAGGAGCGAGAGGCAAGAAACGCGGCACCTGAGCAAGTCAGTAAACACAGCAAACAAAAAGAATTTTAAAATTAATAAGAAATCACCAAAAGTTAGTCTACAAGTTACCCGTAGTTTTCCCTTGTTGAGAAAAGCACACAGGCACACTCAAATCTTCTTTGCACGTGTGACATACAGCTGTGCAGTGTTACGTATCTGATCTGGGGATTGCACTCCATTCTGACACAGCTTGCCTTGCTACGTACAACCCAATCACCAAACACAGTGATCAGATGCCGAGAGTACAGCTACTTAACATATTAAAGTATGCATACAGGACCCAGCATACATCACACTTTGCAAACCAAAAAAAGTCCCAAAGTCTGACCATGCAGGATTCCAGTGTACACTTGAATGGTAAAATGGACGGCAATCTGAACAGGTGGACAGGCGTTGGACATGCTTGGCGATGGTGGAGGGTCGGGTTTCCTTGCCATGATTCGTGCTGCATCGGGCACGTTCTATTTTCGTCTTTCCATAATGAATCGCTTTGGATTTCACAAATTGAGTTATAGTATTGAGAAATTAGAGGCCTTGAATAGTTTTTATCGAAATCAAAATATTTGCCGGGTTGGAAGGTGAGTTGGACATGCTTACCCGAGTCTAACGTTGCCAACTGGCCGTCGGCGCGCTTCACGACTGCCTGGGAACCTAGAACACAACCAGACCAAGTCCAAACGAGAGAGAAAACCACGTAAAGTATTGCAACAGATAACAGGAACAGCACAAGGAAGAGCTTGGACAGGCCTGCAGGAGCGCATCCACGGTGCCTGCACAGCACACACTGCCATCAAGCTACCCTACACTGTAAGCATGGTAAGAGAGCACAGTGACGCTGGCAGTGCATCATTCACCTTGTCATATATTACTAGTACTAGTAACGTGTCTCCGGTTACTGTAAGTCAACAAATATTCGGTGAACATTTATTTTCGGCTATTTTCGGCCTGATCATATTAATTTTGGCCGAAAATTTGTTGCAGCCAAAATTTTGTTGTGCAGGGTTCAGTGTGCAAGAATGAACTCGGATGGAGAGCCAAGGATTATTTATAAAAAGTAAAAAGGACCAAGGAACTACAAGTTACATTATAATGTCCACTAACACCACCAGTTACTAAGGTTCAGTGTGACGGTGTATACAGGCAGCAGCAGTACAGGCCGAAAATTTGTTGCAGCCGAAATGTGTTTTAGCCCAGGGAGGCCGAAATTTGAATGGGCCGAAAATTTGTCGACTTACAGTATACGGTCAAAACCTACGATACAGTCAAGACCATGTTTAGCAACCATGCCATGCTGCACGGTGTAGCACAGAATGCTGGTCCTTTTATTTTACCAAACTACAGCTATTCTTCTAGAATTCAAGTTTGAAATCAGTCAGGCAAAAGGGATCCATTATTTAATTTATTTTACAGAAATGTGGTCCTCGTTTCTCTTCTTCTTCTTCTTTATTGTTTCAGTATGCCATTGCTTGGAATAAGTTGCCTGTCTCTATTCGTACCCAAGCAGCAGTAGACAGCTCAAGACTGATGTTCAACGTCAATATGATTTACACAAGTACAAACTTGACGGTTTGTCTCTTCTCATCCAGTAAGCATGCATCTTACCTCATCCATACCGTTTGCCTATACTTATTTGCATCCTACTTATTTGGTTGTTTTCTCATGTGGACATTTATTCATAGTTACACTGTAGCACCAATTTTATCATTCTTCATTTCCTTTTATCATTCTTCATTTCCTTTCCCCATCCTTCACGAGACTCCCTCGATAAGCATCTATCGCGTCCGGGGAATCGGTCAAATACAATAAATAGGTGGCCTTTCAAGACAGGTTGTCGCTCAAGAAAGGTTTTTATACTGCATAGACACACTTCAAACAAGAACAATCATCGTACCTTCCGTCTGCTCTGGCTCTGAGCGATGGCGAGTGAGTAAACTGCCGGATATCATTGAAAACTCCGGCTCCTCGTCCGAATTGGCATCCTAGCAAGCAGTCACACGCGTGTGTATAAGATGTTATCTTCATTGCCAATGCAGGCCACATTGGCAACACAACATGGACCAAGGGTGTGTCAATCCTAAGGGCATACAATTGATTTAGGTCTCGAGCTGAACAGGTCGAGGAAATCAGCAAGAACATTACAGAAACCGCATGAACAGCACAGCAGTGACACATCTGTCAACATGCTGCAAACACCACAATTCATGTAAACAAAGTTCTTCCCACGACATGCACATGTAATCTATAGAGTGGTTCCACATCTATCAAATGACCATACAGGGCAGCCATGTTGGTTCCAACTCCAGTCAACCTCTGCATCTATGGGTCACATGACCATACAGGGCAACCATGTTGGTTCCAACTCCAGTCAACCTCTGCATCTATGGGTCACATGACCATACAGGGCAGGAATGTTGGTTCCAACTCCAGTCAACCTCTGCATCTATGGGTCAGATGATGTCGGTCATGTTGGTTTCACTGCGAGGCAAGACGGTATACATGTAGCGGCAGATTAAGGAGACAACCAGAGTATGATAGTGCCCAGTCAATGCTTACCTCCTCAGCCCTGACATGATGTGGAGCGCCTGGAGACAAGAAGAAAGAATGAATGTCACGATAGTGTCACACAACCATACAGAATAAATAATTTAAAATGTCAAGTCAGATCAACATCAGGATAAGAAATTCACAGAGGGACGTAGAAAACTCACTGGAGAACAACTACAGCTAAAGAAACAAACGACAATGCGATACTGTTATCTAGAGCCTTGTAGCACGAGCAGCCAATGTGGCCACCAAGGTAACGGCACAACGAGCTATTGGCACACATGAGGCGTACCTGGTAAGAGAAGCCGGAAATCTGTCACATAGTCACCAGTCCACTCCCGCGACCTACAGACCGGCACACACATGTACACGTACACACGCACACACGTACACACACATGTATACAAAACAAGTTCAATACAAGCATGCAGCTGGGGGCAGCACATTGCATTGAATCTCATCTACATGTAGGAACAACAGGACAGCCTTCCTTATTACATGCAGTCGCAGCGTCACATTTCAAGTTTCTTAATGCTCTGTTGTTCACTCAAACCCTGTGGCTCCTTTCAGAATCATTTTCGCCAGAACAGTAGGCGGCTCGACAACTACACTGCAGATGCTAGCAGTCGCTGGTATCGTATATGCACAGGGCGTCGCATCCATTACATCATGTGTTAACCACATTCAATACGATCGATTACTAGCACACGTGCAAGACACACACATACGAGCATGGCTTTCACTGGTGGCCAACGGCTGCGCCACTTTTCAACAAATCACAACGGCCTTGCTGGCACACACCACGCGCCAAACCAAACGCACGGCGCAAACCGCTAGCCACTGCCCCATCCCCGTTGCACTTACCTCATGCAGGCCACTTCAAGCTCGTACGGTGTCACAACCGGCTTGTAGAAATCCTGCACACAAGGCACAATGAAAAAAATGATAATAAAAATTCACGGTTCGGGTGAGACTCGGCTGGAGGCCGCGTTGTCCTCGTCCGTAGGAACGCCACCACCCTCCTCCCACCCTCTATGGTTCAAGGTGCAGATGCAGCTCCTAATAGGCAGACTACGGCCAAGATCACGTCTGAACTTGAATTTCCATGGCGATGCGTGCTTCAAATGATACTGTACAATCGCTGATCAAATACGTCTTGAGTCGTAGAAACGTGCTCACAGTTGGCCGTAGTCTGAATCGCCTATAAAGCGGTGGACAAGGCACAATAGTTCCAGAGCCAAATGCATCCAACCTGCTCAAGCATGCACACGCCAAGAGCCAAGTTCAAGCTGGGAACAAGACTTGGAAGCACATCCGAGCGACAGCATTGCAGCAACATTGGGGCCCCATTGACCCGTTGGTGCCAGTAGGTCGATTTCTACCTATGCTGATACCAAGAGTAGATAAACAAGAGTGTGCAACTCCGCATCTCTTCTGCACAATCCGCAGATACCCCGGCCCACGACGGAAATTATTCCTGACGTCACCTTTGTCAGAAACACGCGCATTTTGCCGCAGAGCAGTGTGAGAGCACGTGCTGGGCACCGACCTTGTACAAGTAATGTAAAGCCCGGCCAAGTGCACAAGGCAAAACTTCACAAAAGACTCGCAGCACGTGCGTCGTAGAAGAGATCACGTCAACAACAATTTCCGCCATGGGTCAACCCATCCGCGAGTTGCACACTCTTGTTTATCTACTCTTGCTGAAACTGATACTGGTGTGTGTGTGTGTGCGTGCGTGTGTGCGGGTGCACTTGGTGACTTACGTCAGAGTCTATCAGCGTACTCTCGGGACAAGCCACCAGGACAAACACGTCGATCTCCATGAAGTTGGCTAGCTTGGCCACATTCAGCTTGCCAAGAGCAAAGGTGTACACCTGGAGAGCAGATACGAGTAAAAAAAATTAAATTATTTTCTCCGTTCCCGAGGGCACTTGCTACAGACGCTAACAGCTGGTAAATCCAGATAAAGCAGATACGGAGTAGGTGTGAAGGAAAACAACATCAGCAATGTCATCCATGCGCGCCAGGCAGGCTGAGATCATGCGTTTGCATGTTCATGTTCAACGTTTGTCTCTCGTGGTCTGATGCTAGTGCATGGAAAGATCACTGGGTACAGAAGCAGACCTACTAGTAGCTGCAGGCAACTATGGCTGTGCTAGGTTACACATGAATACATGCCAGGCCTGGCCTGCCCTGGCTAGGCTGATTCTGAGGTGTGCTGAGTTATAACTTATAAGTGCATCATGTAGCAAGCAAGCACACGCACACACGCACGTACACACACATACACACACACACACACACACACACACCCGCACACACGCATGCAAGGGCAGTTTTCACACAGCCAGAATGTCACCATAAAGACTTGAAATGCATCCATCATCCACAGGAGCCTACCTTCTTTCCAGCCTGGCGAATGATCTGTTTGAGCCGCCGTATCAAGGTCATGTAATCCGCTGCAAGCCAGATGGCACAACGAAACAAAATAAGGGATACTAATTTATCACCTCTTGCATCACCCTACCACAAGCAGTACGACCCAACCTTTTTTCATTCACACTTCACCGCCTTGACACCACTTCATGGTTGGTGCTGTGCATGCGTGCGTGTGTGTGTGTGTGTGTGTGTGTGTGGTGTGTGTGTGTTCGTGGCAGGATGTTTTTTTGTGATATGTATAGTTGGAACTGTAAACTATGAGGCATGGAATGAACGCAAGCGCTGCACACACACACACACACACACACACACACACACACACACACACGCACACGTACGTTAGTATGTGCTTACCAACACCCAGCGTCCCGGCCAAGACACCAACGGTCTTGGCCTCTTTGGCCTTCAGCATCTTGACGTAGCGGCGCTTCAAACTACGATTTGCCACGGCGGTCTGTACTTGTGCTGAAGAGGAGCTTCTCAACGGGTTATATAGATACAACTACATACAGCAAAGAACAAGAAACACAGAAACAAATACATTCACAACGACAGTAAATCCACTAACTATGAATTACTAGTATTCACTTTTCACAGTGCAATTCACGGGTTTCAGGGAAAGATGCAAACGGGAAAAGTCTGAAGAAAAAATTGACTGTCACGACAGTGCTTTTCAGAATACCGGTAGGCCTATCTCAGTTTGTCCTTTGCTGCGGGATAGTTACAACATCCGGAATCTATAGAAATCTTGTTCTGGATTGATTCGAATTCAAGGGCTGTCCCTATCCGAATGCCATGCACACACCCTCTAAACAAATGCAGCCCCTCTATACTATTTCATGTAAATTGAGGCGATATGCCACCTCTTACTGGCTCTTCAGCAAATAATTTCGTTCCCCATACGGCCTATCGGTACGGGGCCTGTGAATCTGGATATCATTTAAAAATCTGCCTGAATACTAGCAGTCGTACCAATGAAATGCTCGTGCCCCCCCCCCCCTCCATTTGGTAACCATCACAGTCATGACAATTCAGGTCACTCGGCCAAAGATGACAATTCAAGTAACTCGGCCAAAGATGACAATTCAAATCACTCGGCCAAAAGTGTGATGTGCATGGCAGTGCAGCGTAACTAGTGCAGCAGCAGCGTACCGGTGATCGGCTGAACGTCATCATGTGATTGTTCAGCGCCATGTCTGCTAAGCCCACGTAGAACACGCTGTAGTCGTCCAGGGTGCTACCATCCGCCAAAACAAACTCACGCCCACACCTGTGCAGCAGCAACAACAGCAACGACAAGACAAATCAAGCCATGAAACCGAGGCGGACAACAGAGAGACATTACTACCCACTACAACCGAGTGGATTTATCGGGTGCCAGCAGCCGTCGCGAGTTCCCTAGGGAACAGACACGATGATTGTTTACTCTTTTTATCCAACCGAGCACACACCTGCTATGGTAGAACTCTGCTATGACGTACAAACATGCATGGGACACATGAGAGTATACACGTACATGTCCTAGGTACCCGAGGTATTTCTTATCCAAACACAACTCAATACTAGTATGGAGCAATACACTCATGACCCGGCCACTGTCTGCTGTACTAAGCATGTTATACCCAGGCCCAGGGTAGTTCATAGCTTACACTGAATTATTTCACTGTACAGGCAGAAAATGTCGTCCAACTCCAAAGAAAGAGAGTTTGTCCGGTTGTGAATTTCGTCCATGGATCATAAGAGTGTATCGAAAAGCTGGACAAATCGACATTAGTCCGGCATTTAATTTAGCCCAAAAGCTCCTTGGACGAAAAAGACGAAAAATTTAAATTCCAGACGAATATTTCTGCTTATACAGTAGATACTGGTATGGAAGCAATACTGCCACACTTAGAGGAGTTGCAGTGAACAGATAGAACAAGTAGATATCAGCAGCTTACCTGCTGTGATGGTTGACCGCGGACTGATCCGACGATTGCTCAGCCGTACTGCCACCGCTGCTACTGTGTCCCGCGCTCTTCGGGTCGATGGCCACGGGCTGGCGCACAAGACAACTGGCAGGCAAGCTAGCGGAAGCGCCGTTCTCAGCTTCCGTCTGCTGCTGCTGCCGGCCTGCAATATTACCCACGGCTAGTTCTGGATGTGATGTTCTGAGCTGAGACGACAAACAGGAGAGATGAGATTCGTAGATTGTGTCGCACATCAATAGAACTCTGCTGGCCGGATCTGGGAACGCCTCGCGGAAGCTCTTTGCACACGCCTCGACGTTCATCGGTTCATGTCCGAATGCGTACAGCACGGGCAGGCGCCGTACACTGCAGCGCACACACACACACACACACGCGCGCGCGCGCACACACACACACACACACACACACACACACACGCACGCACGCACACACACACACCGGACATCAGAGTCAGAATACAAGTTACGCACTACCATCGGGGTCCAATCGACCTCATCAAAATGACAAATGCACACTATGCTGTTTCGTTGTTCACTAGCTCATTGCCATCGGTTGGGCTTGCCACTCTGAACTCCGCTGACGGAAGCAGCAGTCTGGAGAATGAGTACTACAAAGATTACATTTCCTACATCTAGACATTGCAGCATTCCATTGACGTGACTTGGTATTCCGGCATGCACAGCTCCAGACTGAGGTACATTAGGGGAACACACTAGAAAAGTTCAGGGCCCATCCTGTGCATGTACGTGTACAGCAAATTTGTGCAAAATTTCGTTCGAAGAGATGTCCAAGACGTCCTCACCTGCTGAGACACGAGTGACCAAAGTGAATGATAGCATCCGCTGAGACATGCTCTGCAGCCACTTCATCTACACAGCAGCTAACAGCAGAAGAAAAAAACCAAACAAACACACACACAAACAATTCGTCAAGAGAAAACTCTACTCTCTCAAAGTGTCAGGTCGTCGAATGCCTCATTACAATGTAGTCTGTCAGTTTTGTGCCCAGCTATCGCACTGTCTGACTGCTTATTATCTTGTTACAGTCGTGGACAGTTACTCAAAACTCGTATCCATGTGTCCTTTTATATGTTTACATTCTCCCGAAGAACATTGGTGTATCAAAAACGTTGCTGCATTTTTTTTCAACACAGCAGCACAGGCAATAAAAAGGCAAAATAAGCTATGCCATGTCAATCCATAATGTAGTGAAATGAGTTGTAAGTTGTTCACCATAATTAGTGCTTGCGTTCAGGCAAGCAGTAAAACTCCTGGTGAATACAGAGAATAACGGTTAGGCCAAACTAAAGAAGGTGTGTGGTTCGACTAACATGGACATTTTTTTTACGGGCGGGCGGGCGGATTTTTTTTTTTAAAATATATTTTTTAGTACATGTAAATACACTGTACTGCCTTTAGACACCCAGTACATCGGTATTATTACGCAGTGTTATGCCATACATGTTGTATAAAGGGATCACTGGCTAATACTTTGAAACATTGTGTAGCTCTGGAACGAGAAGAGAATAACTTCAAGCGGTGACTCTGACTGTCCAAATCATCAAGCAAATGAAGAACGATGCGAGTTGAAAGTAAGTTCGGGAACTACTTCGAAGTACAAATTGTACAATGTACCGGTACATGTATTGCTAGTTTGGTGTCGGCGTGCACGAATACATGGGCTTTTTCCATCGACGCTTCCTGTGCTTGCACACATGGAGCAGCAACTTACCGGTACAGGTGAAATATCGTTCCCAATACACGAGGAAAGTGCAATCTCGTCTGTCCTTCATCCCAAAACAGAAGGCCATCCATCTGGAACGAGGCAATCACTCTCAACCGGACGGTCACTTCAAAGTAAGTCTCGCCAGTCTGCCGGTGGTCGTATCGAGTAGACTCTACTACCAGCACAAGGCAGCAGTCGTACCACTCACTGTACTGCACTGCAGTACAACTACAAGTCAAGTCCAAAAGGAGCCGCCTGCATCCGCAGACTCACGCTGCACAGCACGTAGACGTGGACGTGTTCAGTCCACGTACGTCAGTCACACGACAGCCCGCCGAAAAAAAGTTACGGTCGGGCTGAAATTGTACGGTCGGTCGGGTGAGTCGAACCACAGACCTTCTTCAGTGTGGCCTTAGGACTTAAGTCCAACCGATCGCTAACAGTGTACAGTCCAGTTTACCACTCAATTCAGCAAAAGCTTGATTACCCGAATGCCAATGTACCAGTAACCGTGATAGCCAAGCCAGCAGATCAACAAAATACAGCGGTAGATAGGTGAACCACACAACAGGAGCAAGACTAGACTCTGATCGATACTGACATATTGAATATGTTTTGACAATGTTGCATTTCCTGTACTTCCCCCCCCCCCCCAAAAAAATTCAATGCAGGATGCAATGATCTGAACAAGAAAGGAATGATGAGCGACTACATGTGTCAATACTGACATGGACACGCACACACACACACACACACACACACACACACACACACACACACACACACACACACACACACACACACACACACACACACACACACACACCATTTGACGCCCATCGCCGGAGGCGATGATAGCGATGCTACAGCAGAAGCCATAGCAACTTGTGCTGGGATTGCACCATTCAACAGCTTGCAAGGCTGAAGAATTGACCACCACTATCCAGCCTGGTCTACACCACACAGCTATGAAGTGGCTTTTTCTGGCCAGTGAATCCCTATTTTTAGGTCTTTTCCTTTTTTTCCGCACACACATCACACCACATACTCCGGCCTGCACTGGCTGTTGGTAACCACCGAGGAGAATGAAAGGAAAGTCAGGAGGAGCTTGAGAAAGAGAAGAAAGATGTGTGTGACCATAGTCGTCGGGAATCGAACCCGCAACCTATCGATTGGAAATCGCTGCACATACCACTGCACCATATGGCACACACACACACACACACGCACACACACACACACACACACACACACACACACACACACACACACACACACACACACACACACAGGCACTTGCGCATGCACACACACATGCCGGCGCCACCATCGCCACAACCGCCACCCCACGAACACCAGCGTGTTCCAGAACCTAGGACAAAGTCGTATTCACCTTCCATAGGACGTATCTGCCAGTACAAACAGCTGACTGTCGGGTGCAGCATCGGAGAGTAGAGTGGTCACCGCTGCTGAGTAGCGCAGCATCTGATCAGGAAACTGGAGTGCCACCTGGTAGACACAAAGCATCACGCCGTAGTGAAAAGGGCAATACAGGGAATCATTTTAACCGGTATCGCATCACAGTTTGCTATGCAATTCTTCTGAGGTGCGAAGCAACTTCAGAAATGTGGCGCAGAAAACTGCAATATATGTTGATTATCCACTGAACCCTATGATGCACAGTGTACATGCCAGGTGTGTCTCTTAGGGATGAAATAGACGCACACAGCTTCAAGTGTTGAGCTCTGCATCCTGGCACCCGTTTAGGTTTGCAACTAAGGTGTTACAGTGTACTTGTGGTCTGAGTTTGCACTCTGATCAGCTCTGCAGAAGGACAATGTTGTCAAGTGTTCAAGAAAATTGCTACGCAACATTTTCGAATTGCTATTCAAGTTTGATTCTGCGTAGCAAAGTCGCTATGCAAAAAATTGAAAGTAAATTATTCCCTGCAATATTACCTTGCCAATTCGCTGATTGCATGGCAGATTGCCTATTGCATTGCTGTTTCTATGTGTATTTGCATTAAATTGTGTGTGCGTGTGTGTGTGTGTGTGTGTGTGTGTGGTGTGTGTGTGCGGCGCGTGTGTGTGTGTCTGCGGGTATGTAGCCTCCCTAGCCCCAGGCAAGACTCGGCCAACGGATTCCACTACAAAGGCCTGGGCCAAATGTCTCAACGAGTCTGAAAATTTGCGGTCGATCGTATTCAGGGGGTCGATCGTGCAGACCGCTGTGACGTGGACACGCACGGACGCGGATGCTGTGAGGTTCATTTTTAAAGATCAGATTGTCCCGTTAGTCCTAACCTGCACATGAATGACTAGTACAGTACGTACATGTAGTATCAGGGCGAAAGTAAAATTGAGAAAGTCCACAGTTGTCTCTGAACATCACAGCTTAGAGTTCTATCAGAATAGTGTAGTACAATGCAAGCGTGCCTTATTTATTTGCTTGAGAGATTTAGACAATGCATATGCTTTGAAGTTCATACCTTTTTGTAGCCTCCATTCACAATGAACGCAGCACACTGCGACAAATCAAAATATGCGCTCACATCCTCCACGACAAGATCAGTGCTCGCTGCAGGAGAAATCTCCCTTTCAACGACATCACGGTCGTTGCTGCTGAACGGGGTGGCTGTTACCATGTCAGACATCTTCCCAGTGGCACTATTGATAGTATTGGCTCTGTTTCTGAATACAACTTCACTGGACGAAACTACAACGTATGTACATGAAACAAGAGTTCAAATAAATGAAAGAGTACATTGACGTAGTCAAAACTCTTGCGATTCCGATGTGGTATCTACAGTGCAGTGGGGGACTTTCTTTACTTGTCCGGTTGAAGATCCATTGAACAAAACTCAAATTAATTGAGTCAAAACTACAAACTGAAAGTCGCTATGATTATTACTATTTTATGCATGGCCAATATGTGTTCAATAAAAATATTGAAATTCAAAGTGCATTTTGTACAAAAAAATAATGTCGGTGACGTGTTGACTGGTGCACACGTACACGATGTGATCATGCTTATGACGCGGGCGCTAGCTGCTATCATAGTACATGTATCAAGTACATCATTAGTCCGGGATCCGGATTCTGAGAAATCAATTTTTCGCAGTAGGTGTGCCACTTTGGAAGGAGGATTTGGGCATGGTCCAGTTAGATAGGGAAGGGGTTTGGTAGCATGGATTCACTTGTCGGACTCCTGAAAGCTGTGCCATAAGCTTGCTACGAGGGGGTTTTCATGCCAATTTCTCCTCGCCGATTTCAAGATCTTCGTGCACCTGAGCATTGCTTGGGCACGCTCACATGAAGCATTTTACGCGCAGTGAGGGAAATGCATCAGTACAGTACAGTATTTTTGAATTATTTCAAAAACGTTGTCAACACTAGTAATAGCACTCGACTCGTCTCGACTCGATTGAAGGATTACTTATTAGTGGTGTCGAGTCTGAAGCCCGAGCCAATGCTGTAGTTGCTGAAGCCCCATCCTATGGAATACTACCAACTCCCCGGCACAAGGTGAGCCAGTATTTTGTCTTGAATCACGAACTTGAAAAATAAATTTCCCAAAAAAGAAGACACATTGTGAGTTTGATATCAATATTCAATGTTCAATAACAATGCACTTCTGTGTTGGTACACTGATTCTGGTATCCAATGAAAAGAACAAAACGAGAGAGCTTGGAACCTCAGGGCCCTGCGCTATGCTTTGTTGCCTAGCTCATCGTGCATGTTGTTAGAACTGATGGAAATGCTTTTTCCTTTGATTAGCTAAATCATTGTTTTGCAAAAACGTTTCAATGAGATACTGAAGTACAAGTAACGTCTTCTGCATAGCTATGGGACCGGCGCTGACTCTGCCGATGACGGGCGTTCTGGAGTCGACGGGATGTCTGTCCTGACGTTTCCTGGGACCGGCGCTGACTCTGCCGATCACGGGCGTTCTTCTTCTTCTTCTTCTTATTATTATTATTATTATACTGACGGCAACTAACATCCATTCTGATTGCATTTACTCGTCTCCCTACTTCGTATTTCTTTCCAGAAAATCTCCCCATACAGCAGGGAGTCGTTTACATAATATGACTCCCTGCTGTTATAATTATTATGCTATCGGCCTGCATGCGATTTCCGGGCTGGTCGACAGGCGGCCCAGCCAGCCTGCTAGTGGGATCTCGGCCTCGCACACAAATCCACACAAAATTTAATGTTACTGCACTGAATGCATTCCCCCCATACACTTCGCATATATACTCATTCTCTTGATGGTACCGTACTGTTGATGATACGGGACAGGTACGGGATAGCGCCAGGCATGTCGATGGCACAAACAAACAAAAATATTGTGGCCAGCTGTCTTTGCTGGTACGGTACAGTACGGGATAGATACAAAATAGCGCCAGGCGTGACACAAACAAACAAACACACAAACAAACACCAAATTAAAGCTGTGTGGACCCTGGCTAGCGCCAGACGTTACTGAAGTAACGTCTTCTGCATAGCTACGGGAATAACGTGTCAGTATGTGTCCTCGCTGCATCTCTCTCAAGAAATATTTCTCAAGAAATATTCGTTCAGTTCATCACTTGAATAATTGTCAGTAGATTAATTATCAGTACATGATGATATGTTGCAATGATGCGCACCTCCAGGTAAAATATATTAAAAGAGATCATCATGTACTGATAATTAATCTACTGACAACAACAAAAAGTAATACAATAGTATCTCACACACACAATGTTTATCAATATACAAAAGGAATATGCTGCAATGATTCGCGCATCCTGGTAAAATAGTTAAAAGTACCGTAAAATCCCGCCAGAGCGCCCCGTCTCTCCCATCCGCCCCTCCCTGACTTCTTGTCAGGGACGTGATTGATTGTATCCTCGTATGACTCTGTTGCAGTCTGTGATGCCGTACTGCACTGCAGACGCGTGCTCGACCCCGTTGGAAATGTACGCAACAGTGCCCACCCTCCTGACCAGGGATCGCACAAACCCTGCGTTTTGTCGGGTCTGTTCGACTCCTGGCTCTTGACCTTTGGTCGGTGTACGAGATGCACGAACAGTTTTCGTAGGGTGAGTACTTTTTCATGTAGCACTGAATGCGGCAAGCAGGACTCGCCCATCCGCCCCTCCCCACCTGAAGCGGAGGAGGTAGGGGCGCTCTGGCGGGATTTTACGGTAGTACAATTTTACACTGTATATCACACAAACTGTTTCTCAATATGATGATATGCTGCAATGATGCCGTGCACGTGCGCACATCCAGCCCACAGTGTCTGTGTAGCACTCTCCGTGCATGGAAAAACGGTCGTAGGTGGTCGGTAAAACGAGAGGTCGCTTACACCAGGTTTTACTGTAGTACAATAGTACACACAATGTTTATCCATATACAAAATCTAGGAATATTGCCACATGGCATGTATGTTAGTTGTAGAGCCTTGCTGTCACTGTTAGTTTTCTAACTTGATTCATTCTTGTATGTCTAATTTCTCCCTTTACAATATGGCAGCTGCGCAAGGAATTCAAACTGACGCACTGTCACTATCAACGTTATCATTGCTGAGATCATCACTCGTACACGCAGCTGATCCATCACTATCGGACACACGAGTCGTCACAATCTGAGTTTGGCTGGGCATGATTGGACTCAGTTTCCAGTTGCGATACGTCACCGGACGTACTTTGCTGTGGTGGTTGCTCTGGCCTACTGTTGAGCGGACTTGCGCATGTACCTTCGCAGCGGCAGATGTCAGTGCACGCAAGAGATGACTTCTTGCATGAGCAGCGTTGAGTGTCACACACTCCTCGGCACCCGCAGCTGATGAGGCTCTGAAGTTCTTTTGGCACTGCCTGCTGTTCTGTCCAATTCACAGCAACTCTGCCTGAAGGAAGAAACAAACATTGTCACAGACAGTTAATTTATTCCTCGCGTATATTTTTGCAGTAGACAGTCATAGATATCTGGTTAAATGGGAAGGGCAGCACTGTATCCTTTATCCTTTTATCTGCTAATTACAATTCTTTCAACCTTGCAGTATGTTTCTCAATATCCGCAGACTCCACTGTAGCCTTTGTAGACGCGTACCATACCATAATAATTACACAAGTGTAAATTTCCTCACGCATAACTTGATCCAAAGTTGGGTACATTATCGGTGCTAATTATTTATCGGAACAACTTACCGTCGCTGTCTTGAATCCATCCTCTGCCGATGGGCGTAGGCACATCGGGCTTCGGTTGCAAAGCCAGTCGCCACACAGTAGCCTGGTAATTAGCGCGTGCTGTGTGGACATTATGTAGCTCTAACACATCTCCAGTGCGTAAGCCAACAGCCTTCCAGCTCGGAAGGTACCATAACCTTGAACCTTCCAAGCTGGAAGGTCCAATCAGTGGACAGAGCCAGTACTACTACCAGGTAGTATCATCAGGCGACGTTTTATGGCTCTACCATCAGGGGAAATGGAAAGAGGAAAGCACACGGCAGAGACTTATCTGGAGCTGAATGACCTGAACTACTTTCGGAAGGGACAGCGACGAACGAAAAACCAGGACGTTGCATAGAAGCAAGTAATTCCTTCAAAGAAATCCACGCCGAGCATCGCTTTTTGAAAAGTGTTTGAATTGTGGCATCGTTTTCTTCTTCCTTTCCTAGTCAGAGGTGTTTCACATTTTTGGGCGCGCTCTCTTTTCTCTCAATGGTTGCATTCATGATTTTTCGCCCAGTGAGCCAAAAATATTACGATATCTCCTGCCTGAAATTGTCGATTTGTCGTCGGATATATTCCCTTCTCCTGAGGCTATGGCACAGCTTTGAGATGTCCGACAACTTCAGACATACTCACTGTTAGGTACTTGAAGGGTTGGCGAAGAGTTTTTGTGCTCCCTACGAAGTGGTACCCAAATTTTCGATTTCGAGATCGGGATCCCGGACTACATGACATTGTCATGATGTACTTGATAGCAGCTAGCGCCCGCACGGTCGTGATCATGGTGATCTGTGTGGTTTCACGTCTCTCCCGGCGTCCCGCCCTGCATGGGCGATGCATTGATATGCCTCCGCCTACTCTTGCTATGACGTGGCTAGCCTGTGGTTGTGGATGTGGTTGTGCCTGCAAAAAAGCACAAGGACTGCAGCAGGAGTCGTGAAACGGAAAGGGCTTTCACGACTCTTGCAGTCCTGGTCCCTTCGTCCCCGGCTACAGCTGTAGGCTAGGCTAATACTAGTAATAGTATGACCAAGAGTACCTATGACATGTCAGGCGCGTACGCAGGGTCACGTCTAGGGGGGTTTCCAAACGAATCACAAACAATGACTCGTTTAACCCTTTCTAAAGAGCCCTAGGAAATTTTCAAAATTATGCATTTTTTCATGTTCTTTGGATCATAACTTATTATTATTATTATTATTATTATTATTATTATTATTTATTCATATTTTGATAGGGCAATCCCCACAGACTCAAGGTCTTCTTACGGGTACCCTAAGAATGAAAGTAATGCATGGCGAAATAGGGATGGCGATGCAGCAGTGCGGATATCAGATGGAGCACTATTCCATCTGTCTGCAGCCAAATAAGAGAGAGAAAACAGACCGTAGCGTGAATAAACTCGGGGTAAAACAAGACCATTGGAGGAGTGAAGGCGGGTCCGACATTGCAAAGTGTTAGCTGCTGAAGAGCGAAGTACAAAGAGGTCTCGAAGAAGGACACTGGTCTGGCCTAGGACGCAACGGAAAACAACTGAGTACAATTTTAAACTGAAGCGGACTGAAATTGGCATTAAAGAGAAGCGTGCGAGAATTGGGGCTGAATGGGAGGACGAGGGGTAACCAAACACTATCCGTAATGCACGTTTACTGATCTTGATCAGGTTATCATATTCAGTTCTACTCACTCAATCTTCATTATCTTAGGCTTCCTGGAAGTGGAAAGGTACCAGGGAGACTCGGAGAGAATGAGGTCGAACATGATAGCCAGGACACAGTACACATGGTACAGCCATGTACATATCCAGCGTATCCAGCGCTATATGCTATAGCGGTAGAGTGCAGCGACGGTGCGAAAAAAATGCCCCAAACTGGGCCGCCAAAGGCCCAAACGCGTCCTGCTCCAGCGATTTCGTTTCTCTTGATCGCAGAGTTTCGATTTGTTTGCTGCGTGCTCTTGAAAATATCACAAGTGAAGCCCCTGCAAATTTGAGCAAATCAGCGTGACGAAAGTCTCAAATTCTCGATACTCGAGTCGCACTGCGCGCTTTTGAAATTGCGAGATCACGGCTCAAGTTACGAACGATTTATCTCAAGAGATATTGCTCGCAGCGCGCCGCAAATTGTTCCAACCGACTGCTGAGAGTTTTCTATTCGACCTGGATATTTGGATAGTTGGATTTGAGCCAGATTTGACTGAGGTACGATCTGTTGAAGTTTTGCATTCTTGCCAGATCGATCGTGCGCCCTACCAAAATATGCCCAAAAACGTTGCTCGTTTGGAACATTTGGGGGGTTTCCGGGCAACGGGAAACCCCCCCTGCGTACGCGCCTGCATGTACCAATTGTAATGGGAGGGAGCCCCAAAGGGGGAGGGGGGGGGGAGTGACTATGGTGCACCACCCCTCTGAGCCTCGGTACTGGTACCAGTGGGAGGACTCACTAACTAGACTAGACCGACTCAGCTCACCCCTGCCGTCTGGAGCACACCGAAGAAGCACGCCGCGCTTCCACTCGGCAAACGTAAACGCACTCATCCGACAACACACACACAATGTTACTGTCTGCACCTCGTTCCTGATCATGAACGCTGCACCCGACCACGCACGGAGGGTAGATCTACCGGCTCACCCAAGAATCCACCAAGCACTTCGAACACACTGGCAACAACTGCTGACGAACATAATATCCAAATAAAGGGGGGGGGGGGGTTGTTGACGATGTCCGGGATGGCGAGGTCACAGTGACCGGTGAAAGCTATGCCAGTCGACAACAGTGTGGTTGGCCAAGCCAAGCTCTCGCCGGCTCGGATGTCAACATCGTGTAGCGAATCCTGGGCCCACCATGTAGATCATGGTAGATCTACCAGATGTATCAGTGCGAAAGAAAAATGTCCAAACATGCACTACAAAGTACAATCCAACCACGTGGTGCGTATTTTCGGGATGGTGATCAGATCACGGATAAAAGAAAACATCTCAATAATAAAGGGCGTTTGACCACAATCATCGTGTTTGCTGCATGTGCAGCCATTGTCGGGTGGAGAGGACGAAATTTCGACAACGCTGGTTGTCTTGAATGAAAACTGTTGGAAGTTCGTTGTGGTCTAGGGAATCTCTGCGGAGAGAGAATGCGAGGGTCGCTGGTGACGGCAGCCGTTCTGCTGGTGGTGACGGCGAGGACGTCGCAATGCTCCGCTAAAATAGCTTGGCAGAATCCGCCCTCACCACTACAAGCGGCGACAGCAGTTCGTGGTGTCGGCGTACGGACGGGCCCCGGCAGTGTATTCGATGTAAGCAAGTATGGGGCGAAGGGCGATGGCAAAACGAAGGACACCGAAGCTATCAGGAAGGCGTTTGCTGATTGCACAAGGTAGAAGGGACGGCCGACCCGATGCTGTACGCTGTTGATCTAGGCCATTGATTGAGTCATTGTACACATGTACAAGTACTGCAGTACACCATGGTACATAGCACACTGAAAAACGAGTGGACCTGACCCTGTGTTATTTATACAGTATACAAAGTCATCATCATACATGTAGATACCGTAGAATCCCGCGGATAAGCCCATGGGCTTATCTGTTTCACAAGGACATTTCGGTGGGCTTATACGAGAACATGGGCTTATAGTTATACGCGGGCATGGGCTTATACGCCGACACCAAGTTGTGCAATTGAAAAGTATCAAGGAAGTGTGAAGGACATTGCTGAAAACCACTGTGCAAACAAAAACAACCGATGATTGTGCTGAAATGTACGAAAAAAACTATAATGTGCATGGACTACGTACATGTACATGTACATGGTATGGCCAAGAGTCCATAATTTATGGACTCCCGGTATGACCTAGGCCCATGGGCTTGTACGATGAAGCTGTGTGATGTTCGAACAAACCCTGGGCTTATGCGCGGGCATGGGCTTATACGCGGGAGGGCTTGTCCGCGGGATTCTACGGTACCGGTACGTCCACTGGCGAGACCAATGAAAGACGTGAGCTGAATTTACGGCATGACTATTGTACAGTGTTTCCCAGCAGAGAATGATGCATGCACAGTTACCAGCATGCTGCAGATAATTATGCATGAATGTTGTGCCCGTGTCGCCTGATTGTGCAGTGCTGGCGGGGGCACAGTTCTGTTCCCGGCCCTTCACCATGTTCACCATGGCAGCAACAGCAGGGTGTGGAACCATGGCGACTCTGTCGACGGCAAGAACAGGCAACATGGCCTCTTCTCTGGTGCAGAGTCGGAAGCGCAGCAGCAGCAGCAGCAGCACTATGAGCATGAGTTCTGGGCGCCGGATCAGCCGAGGCTGAGACGTCCTCGTGCGGATTCCAACAACACAGTCTACCTGACTGGTTAGTGATGCAACGAGTACAAAAGTACCGTACTCAATATTCGATTTGGACTTTGTGGCCATCTTGAAAATAGCCCAATATCTCGGGATGTAACTATACAAAAGTGGTTTCGCATACATTGTATTTGTCATGTGACCAAATTTGTGCAGAAAGTGATCACGTCATGTGGACAGTGGAACCAACAAGGCTGACATCACGTGACCCATACATGCGGAGGTTGAGTGGAGTTGGAACCAACATGGCTGCCTCACGTGGTCATGTGACAGATGTGAAACCACTGTATTATTATACTCAATCCACTGGGAAGCCAAACCTTTGTCATGGAAGGTGAAACGAACACATACAGTAAAACCTGCAATGGCAACCACTCGACCATGGCGACCACTCGACCATGGCGACCACTCGACCATGGCGACCACTCGACCATGGCGACCACTCGACCATGGCGACCACTCGACCATGGCGACCACTCGACCATGGCGACCACTCGACCATGGCGACCACTCGACCATGGCGACCACTCGACCATGGCGACCACTCGACCATGGCGACCACTCGACCATGGCGACCACTCGACCATGGCGACCACTCGACCATGGCGACCACTCGACCATGGCGTCCACTTTTCCTTGTCACGAACGCATTCACGTTCAAAACACCTCGGATAAGGCGACCACTCGCTCAACGCGACCGACGACCGCCCACCCGCGACCGCGTTGCACAGTGTTAGCCATGTAAATGTACGCATTACATGGTGCACCAGGCATGGTAGATCTACACATCAGTGCCGGAAGTGTAGATGTACATGGTGCATGCACGACATTTGACAGGTCTGAGGAGCCCAGGCACATGAGTCGTGCTAGAGTAGCATAGGTGTGTGCACTGTGATGCACTGATCAAAATGATGTAACACATGTGGATATGGTCACGTGACCCACTGAACCTGGATAAGAAGACCACCTGGCCACGACGACCACTTTTTCTCGTCCCTTGAGGGGTCGCCTTAGACCGGTTTCACTGTACATGTACTACTGAAGTACAGACGCGTAGCACCGCTGTTGGAAGTGGTTCGTCCGGGGGTCTCCCCCGGGAAATTTTTGAAATAAGGGTGCAAAATCCTGCATTCTGGGCACTTGTGGCATTGTGTTAAAAAAAAGTGGTCCGGCTGGACCGCTGCTACGCCCCTGCAGTACCTTCAATCAGCATTTACATCTTTCTCAGTCAAAGTTGTCATAGTTGCATCCCATCAGGTAGAAAAGAACCATGTACGGGTGGATTGTGTTGTGCCAATGGCCACACAATCAGACAGGGTTCTTCTTTCCATGACACATGCACGGCGGCCTAGGCTTCGCAGTGAGCCGGTGAAGTCCTCATTGGAGTCACCGTGTCACGGTTGTTTCCTGCTCAGGTGCCTTCAACATTTCAGCCTCCACCGTTGTCTTGGTTCCCGATGGCGTCACTATCCTGGCCAGCACGGACAGTGAAGATTTCCCCTTGATTCAGCCACTGCCTGTGAGTTGAGTACTGTACTAGTTCCACACATGCACCTTGCAGCGGCAGATCCAGCGATCTCTACAGGGGGGGGGGCTCCTGTATAGTCAAAACTGAATAGCTGATACATGTACATGGACACACGCGTATGGTTGCCAGTACAGTCGTCCCTCTCTAATCCGGCACTTGTTTATCCAGCACCCTTGCAAACCAGCACACTTTCTGGAAAAACGGATTTTTTCAGTTCATTTTTACGCTTTAATCCGGCACTTTACGTACTTGAATTCCGCCTCCAGCAGCGATTTTCTGCAACAAATCACTCAAACTGTACATAATTCGATTTTCTAATCCATGTAACATACACTTGGGAATATCCTATGCCAGTGCATAGGATATTCCCAAGTGTATGTTGAAGACATGCACTCCACAAAGTACTTGGATTGACACAGAAAATCCCTACGTGTTGACGTACGACACAAACATGTATGTTAACGGGTGGGCCGGGTTGGAGGGCAGGATGCGATCATCCAGCACCCTTGTTTATCCAGCAGAAAATGCCGTTGCAAAAGGTGCCGGATTAGAGAGGGACGACTGTAGTACATTTACGAAATTTAGGGGGTTCCATGGAACCCCTGGAACCCCTCCTGGATCCGCCCCTGCCTTGTGCACGATGTTTAAGTGCATGTTTGGTTTGGTCAGCCATTAGGCATTACCGTAACGTACCGCAAGAGCGCCCCACCGTCTCGTCCTTTCGTGGTCGTATTGTGGAGGTGGTCTTCTGTCTGTAGGTCATACGACACGAATCTTGTACACGTATTGCACGTTGTGGAGTCAATCTGTACCTTCGAACGGACACGAGCTCCACGCAAAAACCTGCTAAGTGTGACCTTAGTACACAATGGTTTTCACGCCGTGACAAACTTCGTTGCACTCTGCCATACAATTTTCCTTTCCCTGGCGGCATGTAAAATCAGGGCTCTCGCGAGGCGGGGCGCTCTGGCGGTACTTTACGGTACATTCAATGCGGTTTATGAGCACAGTACATGTGCACTGGCGATACGACCTCAGGCCCGTCATAAACTTCTGCTAAAATTGATACCGGCAGATCGCTGCCACTCAGTGCATCCGATCCACGGGTTTCTTCCCATGAATTCACCAGTGTACCTACTGTTTCGTCTCCTAACTTATCATGCACAGTGGTACGGCGGTGGAAGTGACTATCAAGAAAGCGGTCATCTCATCTACCAGCCGTTCATTCACTCCTACTTTGCCGACAACATACGCATAACCGGCGGCGGAACCATCGACGGGAACGGCGAGCCCTGGTGGAAATGCTGGCGAGGCGACCCCAAGTCATCGCCGTGCAAGGGCATTTCCCGTCCTCACATGGTCAACCTAGTGTCTGGATCCAATGTTGAGGTAACCTTACAATCATGTACTTCACTTGCATGTAAGGCCACACGTTTTTATTTCTATGTTTCTCGTCACCCGAAAATCCAAAAATGGGCAGCCTTGGGTGGGCAGCCTTTGTCACGCAACAGCTATGCTTGAACATTCCACACTATATAGTTGACACTGTCACTGCACGTGAAACATGTATAGGCGGCAGGGGCGTGCTCGGCCCCCCAACTAGGGGGGTGCACGGGAGCCGAGGGGAGCCCCCCCGGCAATTTTCTGCAATTTGTTTGCAACCTTTCTTGAATTTTAGAGCATATGTGCATACATTACAATTGCAATTACCCAGATTGAAAATTTTTGGGGGGGTGCACGTGCCCCCCGTGCCCATCGCCGAGCACGCGCCTGGGCGGGGAAAGGATCACTGTGTATAGAATTTGATTATTCTCCGGATCGGCTTTCATCAGTTCTAGTGGAGTAGGTGTGAGCCAAGTAATTTTGTGTATTGCCTTGTGTTTGAGCCCCAGAGTACTAGCAGGTCTACTGTCTTATACTCTCTAGCGTGCTGCTAACATCTCCATGTGCCCTACTAATATACAGATAGATCACGTCAACATTCACAACTCTCCCAGCTGGACGCTGCATTTCAGCAACATAACTGGTGTTCATCTGCACAACGTGATCGTGATCAACCCAGCCAACGCGCCCAATGCTGACGGCATCGACCTGGACTGCAGCCAACAGGTATTTCTAAAGCATGTACTTCAGTATGCGTGAACAAAAATGGGCAAACGTATGCCAAATGTGGGTTACAGCGAGGGCTGCGTCCCACCCGCCTGTGTGGATTCACAGGAAGTGTGAGTTACGGAGTCTGAAGAAATGTTGAACGGTCTCTGCTGGGATGACGACTACGCCATAGCTCAGTGGTTAGAGCATCGCTGGCGACAAGCTAGGGTCCCTGGTTCGAGTCTTGGTGGTGACAGTCAATTTTTTCTTCAGACTTTTCCCGTTTGCGTCTTTCCATCAAACCAGTGGATATTTTATGCCATGATGATAATAATGTGTGTGGTTCCAGTGTGTGCATATGGGCAAGAACTACTCCTGCAGTAATAATCGTTGATCAAATCTTCACCAGTTATAGTCTTCGGGGTGCTGAGTCGAATGGTCTTGGTCAGAGGAAGCGGAGACGCTCCCTTCCTCCTTTATTCCCAATCGAACTCGCCACTTCCGCGGAAACTGGGCCAAACTGCGCAAACTTTGAGTTTTTTAAAGAATTTTTTCTGCAATCCCCTATTGAATCCTCTTCCAATTGTGTTTCTGAAGTCTATTTCTCCAAAAAGCAAGCCCCAACAAGAATAGGATTTCGGCCAGGCTTTGCCCCGAAAGCACTGAATTGGGAAAACCATCAAAATCCCAGCCATTTGACCCCACCTGCAATAGTGCATTGTGCGGTTCGAACCCCCGTTCAGGTGCCCTTTTGGACCCATTTTCAAATTTCGCAGCACTGCACTGTGTACGATAAAATCACGAAAAATCGCCAAATACGGGAGCTCGCCAGAGCCAGGGCCCATCTTTATCTGAATGGATTGTAGCAGGGCGCAGTTCGTTTGGGAATAAAGGAGGAAGGGAGCGTCTCAGCTTCCTCGGACCAAGACCCTTCGACTCAGCACGCCGAAGACTACAACTGGTGAAAATTTGATTTTAGTCTTAAAAAAATCGACGGGTTCGCGTACCGGGCAGGTCAAGAACAAGGAGTCGTACAACTCCCTGGTCAAGAACCACCTTTCCGCTTCCGTGGGACGCCACCACCCCATGATCAGGCGTCAGATGCGGCTCCTAAACGGTGAGGGGTGATAGATTTCCCTTTAACGCTTGTCAATTTGAATTTGTTGACACCATGATGATGTACATGTACTAGTAACCAGGTAACCCAAAACCGTGATTATTCGAATAAAAACTAGATTTTACCATGATTTAAAAAAAATCATGGTTCACAGAGAAAAGTTTGGCAACTGCTGGACAAGTGCTCAATGCGCCGAGTGCTGTACTGTGAAAGAGAGATGGGGTCCTTTAGATTTCATGCTGAAGCATGTCTGATGACTGCCTTGCATGAAACTAAGTTACTTTCAGTCACAACATATTCAAATCAAACTGCTCTTTTCTGTCACACGCGACGCATTGTTCACTGCAGGTGCTGGTGGAGAACTGTCAGCTGGACGTGGGTGATGACATCATTGCCGTCAAATCCGGTATTGACTGGCTAGGCAGGCAGTACGGACGGGCGTCACGAGACATTTTGGTCAGGAACCTACAGGTCAGTGGCAGAACCACCACATGTTGTAGGAATCAGGGAGTAGTAAAATACCTATAATTAAATAGACATTTGTAAAATTTCTACTCCCTGGTGGGAATGCACATGACACGTTCAAGACTGGACTGCTGAGCACGGTGTGTTTTCGCTCCTCTCCGCGTGTGTGTCCGCACGCGCATGTTATCACAGGGTTTCCATGGACACGGCATGTCAATCGGCAGCGAGATGAGTGCCGGCGTTCACAACGTCACGTTCTTCAACATCACCCTGGATGGCACGGCACGTGGTGTGCGACTGAAGAGCCAGCGCGGGCGAGGCGGGGAGGTCTCCAACATCACGTACCATCACCTACGCATGAAGAACGTCCCCGCTGCCGTGTCTATGAGCCTCAACTACCACAAGGGTCTGAAGCCCACTAATGCGACGGCGACGCCAAAGTTCGACGGGATCACTCTGATCGACATCACGTCGGATAAATCTGAGACGGCCTTCGAGCTGGAAGGCTTAGAGGAGTCTCATATCACGGGAGTCAGCTTGCAGGACGTGAAGCTCTCTGCTAAGCACTCCACTGGCACGTGCGAGTACGTGGAGGGAAGCTGCTCGGGCAGCACTGACCCGTGTCCGTCGTGCTTCCACAAACTATGATGGTAGCCATGCGTACGGGTGCAGAGGCAGGCAGGTGCACACAGGGCACTAGTAATGCGTGTGATGTGCGCAGAAAGAGAAGAATCCTCCGTATGTACTACTATTCACCTGTCAAAGGTGCAGAAACAAGACCAAATTTACAGAACATTGTGAACAACATTGTTACGAACAACATGTTCGATAGCTCCCAACATTAACCAGTCAATGACATTCACCTCCGTCTTCAGACGCATGCAATCAAGAGTAAATGGGAACTTATAATGCTCTTGATGTAATGTGTACAGAGCAGTGTTGGCGATGCAAGAACATGCACAACTCGCCATGGTGTTCTGCCTGCCACACAATGCACCAGCAGAGTCGAAAGTTGCGTACATTTAGAACTTCTTTATCTGGCTACCAGGGAGTGAGGAGTCTGCCAGCGGTGGAATACCGAAACAAAACAAAAAGGAAACATGGACACGCTTCCAATCCGTTTTCCAAAACAAAACACAGAAGAGCATTCCGTCACAACAACCTAGGGAAAGCGACAAAACTTGGCACTGCAAAGTCTGCATCGTCCTCTTTCTCTCGTTGGCTGCCCCTCTCTCAAATTAGTTGAGAGCAGTAGGTATTCTGCATCATGCACGCCACAGGCAAAATACTGGCAGCCACGGCTACAGCCCATACTGTACTAGTAGCAACAAGAGTACATGAAAACCAGGGAGTCGTACTCAAACTTTTTTGAGTACGACTCCCTGATGAAAACCATAAAAGACTGTCCCCTGTGAATTCCGCGGATTGCAGAATTTCCGCAGAATCCAGTAGTGTCCGCAGAATTCAGAAAATCCCACGGAATATTGCAGAAAAGAGAGAAAAACTGCTTTTTCTGGAGACTTTCGATGTATTTTCACAGCCAAACCAACCTGCTTGTGACTTTCAAAATCAACTTGCAGTATATTTTGGAGCTTCCAATTTTTTTGACCAGGATTTCGCATGCTTTTGGTTCAGAATTTATAGAGACAACAAACTTCGGTGGGGTTGCGGAAATTCGATCTGTTTTTTTTAACGCTTATTTCCCTTGCAGAATTGCCGCAGAATATAGAAGGATTTGCAGAATTAACGAAGAAATTACTGTTTTCAGCCGCAGAATTCTGCACAGAATTTCTCATATTCTGCCGCGGAATTCACGGGGGTCAGAACAAACACCCAGACACGCACAACCTCAATGGCCTCAACACCACAACGGACAGCGTATGCCAGAAGGCTTGAAGTTTGGCGTCAAATATCAGTTGTTCAGTCAGGGTTGAATGTTTCAGGTTCGGAAGATAAGAAAGCATTGAAAGCATCGAAAGAGAGACACAACGAGAAGATCAGACAACGGAAATAAGCAAGAACGTTGCACACAGAGGACTATAGCGGAAAAGTCAAGTTGACATGATTGTAGAGAAGAAACGAGTTGTCGGGGATGGACATGAAAATAAAATTATTATGGTACCAAACAAGATTTATCAAACTCCAGAGAGGGAGGAATCGAGAGTTGAGCACACGGAGTAGAATTAGTACCAAACACAAAAGACGACGTTGTTCGGGCCCGAGGAAAGTTCGGCGCAACTCGGACATGAAACCGGATTTACTTACAAGTACAAACTAGATGATACCGTTTCTCATTCAGTGGCACGCACGTCCATTTCAGCATTATAAGCGTTTATGCGTTTCGAGCGGTTATGTATGCGTGCGTATGGTGTGTGCGTAAGTGAAGCGTGTGTGGACATGTGTGTGAGCGCGAGCGGGCGCTCTTGTGTGTGTGCACGTGACGGTGTAATTATGAAGATGAGCGGAAATGACTAAGAGCTGGTAAAAATCAAAGCAGGGTGACGGCGGAAGAGAACGGTCACAGCGCCACAAGGCGGCACACATACAAACGAGGAAGGATCAAGGGATAACGATGGCGGCGGGAAAGTAGATCACACGCACGCATCGGAAAGGAAAGTACACGCACAGCGAGTTGACGAAACGATCTATAGTGGACCGATCTGAATGAAGGCCAGAGAGACCACCGGCGGAACGGAAACAAAACCTAAGAAATGAGCATAGCGTTAAGTCTCAAATAATCAGCAGTGACAGATGTGCAGAGGTGAGCGGAGGAGAGGACGCGGCGGGTAGAGACAAGGAACGTACGTGTTAGAAGCTAACAAGACTACCACACTTTCTACACGACAGACACACGGAAATAGAGTACTATACGATGGCACAGGATTGGCCTCACTGCAGGCTCTGTATCTAAGAAAATAGTATGAAATATAGCTAGGTCCTCGGCAAAGGCAGCAGCAGCAGCGCACAGGAAAGAAAGTGCTCCCCTCGTCAACAGCCACACAACCACACGTCGCCGCTGGGCATGTGAGAGTATGGAGCAGACACGGCGAAAGAAACTGACGGCGCGGCATCAAGCCAGCAGAGTTAGTGTCCGTGCCAGGAAAGGGGTACACGCGACGTAACAGAAATATCAATGTGCCCGCAGAAGAGGATGGTCAACAACGCGTTTGAAGACATCACCTCGACTCGAGTCAACCGGCTGCAGCGGCAGTTCAGTTGAGGACGCTCGTGTTCACCACGTAGTCGGTGCTTATCGAATGCGGAAATGCGAGCTCTAAGCTATGATAGGCAACAATGACGGCCAGAGCCTCGCTGAGCACCGGGGGTCATTCCGCACACGAACAGCGTGACTTCTGTTGACAACAGTGGTACACACATTACGATACACTAGGAATAGGGCGGTTGTTGTTTTTAAATCCTTGTGCCCGGGTTGTAGTCAAACTCGGAGAACATCACCTGCAAACGAGAAAGCAAACAAGCAAATAAGCAAATAAGCAATGCACAAACACAAACACACACCCACATACACACACACACACACACACACACACACACACACACACACACACAGCAACAGGCCCTCCTCATCACTCTGCACTGACACACATATAGCAGTCCGAGAAAATCAAAATGGGACTACAATTTCAATACAAACCGTGCGCAGTGCCAATGAGAAAGAAAAGGTACGCAGCAGCTAAACATGCTTTCAGGGGATATACGGCCACTCCACCATCTCACAAACAAACATGCACATGCGCACGCGCGCGCACTCACACACACAAACACACGTATCAATACCTGGTCATTCTCAGACAACGGACACTCCTCCTCGGGCGGCGTCAGCTCCGGTTTCTCTGACGTGAACTCCGGATCAAAGTTGCTGACGTCCTCGGGACTTGCCTTTGACAGTGCAAAATGTAGGGAAACACACACAGACAGACAGACAGACACACACATACACACAAATCATGTTTACGATGCCACAAGATGAATTGAAAATGGCATTCTCCGTGTATTTTCGTATTTGTAATTGTAGTCATGGCTTCACCACATGCCTTAGCCTAAATCGTGGGAGTCTCAGTACACGAGAGCAGGGGACGGGGTAAGCCATTCTTCTTGTACACTCCAAGCCTGAGCACCGGATTGCAGAGGAGAGCCAGGTATATCTAAGAATGGTGCTTATCCCGTTATCCAGTTCTTGTGTACAGCACAACACCGAAGGACACTAGAGGAAAATGTCAATACTATCGGCCCTGTACAGCAAGGTGACTTCATTACAGAATGTACACAGACTTGATTGAGAAGAGAATATTGCTTTGAATGTGGAGGTGTTGTTCGTAAGGGAGATTCTACTCGGCGAGACAGACTAGTGCACAGCCTGACTTACGATTGTCGGTTTGACTGGCGGGCTGATGTTGCGCTGCAGCAAGGCCTCCCAGTCAATACTCTGCGTGCATACAAAAGACAGTAGCAGAAGCAGAGAGTGTGTGAGTGAGAGAAAGAGAGGCAGACAGACATACTTCAAAGAAAAACAGCACCACACATGGTCTAAGTATACGAAATCAAATTTTAAAGTAAATGAAGAAATGAATTTCACAGGTCACGGGAGAGTCAGTCAGACTGACAGTTCCACATCTATAAGGTAGGTACACTACCAGCATCGCCAAGGATCAAGGTGTCAGCCCCAGCTTCTGAATAGTACAAAAAAAACTCATAAGATCCCCAACAGGTCTCTGTTCCATCCTTCAAGCTTGTCAAAAGATGAAAACGAACGCCCAGTGGGAACGGACACACTTTTACGGACGTGGAAAAGCCAACCAGACTGACTTCATAGCATGCACGTGAACACCATCGGCATGGAGTACTAAGGAACTGTTGCATCTCCTGAAGCAATGAGAGGTCAGTAGGCCAAACATCTCCTGAAGCACTGAGAGGTCAGTAGACCAGACACATCACAAAAGGTAAAAGACCAAACATCCCATATGCTGCATCTCAAGACCAAATTCTAGTTATCACCTACAGTAAAACCTGGTTTAAGCGACCACCCCGTGGGCAAGCAAAAGCGGTCGTTAAAGCCAGGTGGTCTTTAGAACCAGGTCCCACAGTGTCTGTGTAGAACTGTCGGTGCATGGAAAAACGGTCGTTAAGAGCAGGAGGTGGCTAAACACCGAGGTCGCTTACACCAGGTTTTACTGTGCTTTGATGTTCACGCAACACCCCTCCATCTGTCTGCACATCTGTAGTACTGATTGCACTTACCCTGAAGAACGGATGTCGCTTCACGTCGGCCGCGTCGTTCTCACTCGCGCCGAGTCGCTTCTCCGCATTGCGCCGCATCAACTGTGCACGAGACACAACAGCAATATCAAGTATGGCATCAATGGTGATGTAAGTAAGACCAACATACACGATGAGTCCAGCCCAACCTATATGATGACAAACAGTGCTATACTATCCGGAACTACAAGCAATGTAGCTAAAACTCTATACAGTCCTACCTCGCTTATCCGGATCCCTCGCCATCCGGAAGAAATTAGCTGGTTACATATTTACAGCATACATGATGCATCCAACATAACTCCCGTTTACGCAAACTAATTTCCTCAATCCCTTGGTATGTCCTAAAGAGGCTTCAATGCAATTTTCAGCTCCCTCTGACCAAAAGTAGAAACATTCATAGAACATTCCGTACAATACTACACAGTACAATGCACGCCCCGACCATAGGGTGCACTCGCAATTCTGCTAACACACACACACGGCACATACACGCTGCGTCAAATATTAGTGCACGGCTCCTGTGTCACAGTGCCACCCAATGAAATCCTATCGACACAGTCACCTTTGTGCCCTGTTCCAATGGACATGCCAGTGTTCATAGGTCCAGAGCTGCATAGCGCCCGGTACGTACTTGATTCATGCGATAGGATTTCACCGAGAGCACTGTGCGTACTAGTACTGCAATGCAATATGTTCCGAAGTTTACGATCACGTACAAACAGGCAAAAGTGGTCATTGGCTACCCCAGCCATGTATTGCTTGGAAAAAAATAATAATAAGACAGCGTGCAGCACACACAACAATCACACACTCCAGTTTCCCTTACTCGCCGCATGATAGAGGTAGACTCTGCTGACAAGTATCTGGGATAGCGGACATCGTCGTTCACAATGGCATCGAAAACATCCTCTTCGTCATCGCCTGGGAACGGTGACTGCAATCGGAGAGAGAGAGAGACAAAGTTGAGTCAAACAAGGAAAAGAGGGACCAGACTCACTTCATAGCACATTCTCACTTAGAGCAAACTGCACACCCGGAGAGGATATTACATTGATTAGGAAAATGCAAGGTTGCCCCGTACATCATTCATCAACATGCAAAACCAAAGGTCGTGAAGTAAATAGGGCACGCAATGTTCAGCTCCCGCTGACGAAAAACATAGAAGAAGCCACAGTACATTGCATGTCCTGACCGTAGGGTGCACTCGCGTTGCCCACCAGCAACGGAGAATACACAGAACAACGACAAGGTCTCTGCACCTGGCATCAAAGATATTCAGCTCTCCTGACAAAAAGTAGAAGCAGCCACAGTACATTGCATGTCCTGACCGTAGGGCGCACTCACGTTGCCCACCAGCAACGGAGAACACACAGAACAACGACAAGGTCTCTGCACCTGGCACATGATAACCCTCACCTCTCCCACCATCATCTCAAAGATGAGTACACCGAGGCCCCACCAGTCCACTGCTCGCGTGTACGACGTGTCGGTGAGCACTTCCGGCGCCAGGAACTCGGGCGTGCCGCAGAACGTGCTGGTGCGGTCACCATAGAACATGCCCTCCTTCGATAGGCCGAAATCCGTTATCTTGATGTAGCCATCGCCGTCCATCAATAAGTTATCAAGCTTCAGGTCACTATAGCATCAACGTACACAATATACAGACCATAATCATTCAGATGATCAAACCCCAAACCAATGGCGAGTCTCTCGTCGTCAAGCACGGGATGTATCTTTCACTCGTACAACGGCCGTGCACACTGTCTGCTTGGGTGAAGCCAGGTGCAATAACAGAAGAAAGACCAGCAAATCAGACGACACACTGTCCCGAGCTGACCGTGCAGGCAAAAGTTCTTGAAGCAATGAAATTCACTTGGGCATCTCAGCAGTAAAAAAAAAAAAAACAGCAACAGCAGCCACAGCAAACCATGACTTACCGATATACTACACCCTTTGAATGTAGATAGTCCAAACCAAGCACTACACATGCTGCGTAAAAGCTGCACAAACATGGAATAAAACGACGAATCAGATGTTAATCTAGTAATTTCTAGATAAAAAAAGGAAGAAGGACCAAGGAACTACAAGATACACTATAATGTGCACTAACACCACCAGTGGACATTCTAGTGTAACTTGTAGCTCCCGGGTCCTTTTTACTTTTTTTTATAAATAATCCTTGGCTCTCCATCCGAATTTCTAGATACAGTTGAACATCGACTATCCGACCATTCGATTATCCGTAACAGTTTTTTTGGGCGCACGTGCCATAGAGTACGCACTGTGCATGTAGTGAGCCATTCAAAAATACGAAAAATTTGAAAAGTAGCACTCTATTCTATTTACAATGTACATGTACATGTATTTACAGTGTGTTTTCTTATCCGGAACATTTGCCTTATCAGAACACCGCCTGACAGTTGTCTGCCCAGAGGTGGTCGGATAATCGATGTTCAACTGTACTAGTAACCCAAAGAAAACAGAACTTTGACAGTTGCCTCGTTTCAATGCTGGAACGTGTAGCATTCATCACAGTAGAACACGGTGACATCAACAATGACAACGACGAATGAATAACACATGACTGCACACGGCTGTTCATGCGCAGGCACTTATAAATATGGCGTCGTTCGGTGCGATTTATGTAACATTGTGCGAATAGTACAAATACGCGATGAGTTTGCGTTTTTGGAAGAAACTCATGTCAATCCTCGCGTGGTTCCACGATTTGGGACGCGAAACCAAGAGAAAAGTTTTGAAAGCGCTCGAGCGAGATACTCGACTTTTCGGCAATTTGAGAGAGAAAGAGGGTGGAAAGGCGTCCTGGCCTGCCCAGTAGCTGTCTTTCCGCTTCAAACTTGCTCGAACTACTCCTGGCAGTCTGGAGATTGATCTCGCCAGTGGTTGTCAGACTCTGCTTGGCGTGCTCGCGTGTACAACATTTAAGTTAGACATTTCGTAATCGTTCAACGCACAATAGGGAAATAGGGTAGATATCACAATTTCAAGCTCACTTGGCCGGCTGCTGTCTTCTTCTACAATATCCCACATGCCGACTAAGCAATTTACAGCAGGAAGCAGCCTTCTACACTCAACAGCAACTAAAGGGCCACACCATTTGTCTTCTAAATCAAGAGAAAACAGGCTCCTGACTCGTCGCGCGTATTTAGAAGTTCACGCGCGTATTCTAATGACACTTGGGGAAGACGACCAGAGGATAGTCCTCTACCTGGGAAAAAATCGGGAAGGGCTTCTCGGAGCCGAGTTTGTCAGCGACGACACAAGGAGTATTCCAGAACAAAGCCAAAGTCACACGACACAGAACAAATGTTTCTTGAAGGAAAGGCAGTCATGTGAGGTACGAGCGGAAAGCTTGAAACAAGACGCAGATGATCAGCGTGTTCCCCGGGCTGACTAGTCTCCAAAATCCAGGGGAAACCATGGCCTACTCGTGTTCTGACAATTTGAAAATTCAAATTTTCTTGCCATTGAAGCCCAATCGAGACTTTCGGCGGCCATATTGTTAAGTGGCGTGAAATCGCACAAAAAAACAGCTGCATGCAGCCTATTCGAGGGGCAAGCTGTCCCATATTTGGCAGGTACAAGCAACTCTAGTACGTTTGTGAGTACTAGTAAGTAGTATGACAGTACACAGTTCATGGCATCTTCAAAAAAAATTCAGCGGGGCTGGTACCCCAGTGCGTACCGTTGAAGTGGACTTGCCTCACAAAACAAAATGGCGGGAAGACTATGCAAAGGAGCGAAATACACAGAGTGTGGAAGGAGCACTACGCACTGGCAATGCACCACCACATGCAACTACTGTGCAGCATAGCAAGATGTACTGACCAGGACCGAGTTTCACCAAAGACATCTTCGTGGATATGCATCATCAGATCGCCACCGCACACGTACTCCATTACGAAGCATACATGCATCTGCAGCGCATTACGGTGTCAAAGAAAACAAGACGCAAACACACACACACACACACGAGAGAGAGAGAGAGAGAGAGAGAGAGAGAGAGAGAGAGAGAGAGAGAGAGAGAGAGAGAGACAGACAGAGAGACAGAGGCAGAAAGAGAAAATACAGAGAATGTTGTGTCACTTCCGTGGTCAAGAACAAAAGGCTAACTGGAATGCAATGGGTTATATGGTTGTCAGACAGCCGAGCGTGAACTCCGGTATTACTGCTACTTGTGTCAAGAACACAAGTGTAAGTGTGTGACTGCTTGGAAAGTGAGGCGAGCTCCAGCAGCCTCGGCCCTGACGTCACAAGGCAGGGGAAAGGCGCCATCTAGTACCCATCACCACGCAATGGTCTGAGAGTGACCTGGGAGCACTAAATGCCTATCACCGCAAGAATGTACAGAACCAAAGTGACTCTACCGAGAGGTGATTTCTCCAAGGACCCCCCAAACCATGGGTGAACAAGGAAGCAGACTGTAGAGTCAAATCCTTCTCTCTGCCATGCCACTCACCTCGGTCTGGAAGCACGAATACAGATTGACCAAGAACGGATGCTGGACTTCGTTGATGATCTCGAAAATTCTCCGCTCAGACATTAAGCTACAAACAGTGATAACACGCACACAGACAAAGAATATGAGTCAAGAATGTTGCTGGTGCTGCAACGGTTTCATTACAGAAAGCATTAAACAAGAAAAAATATACAACCAAAACGGAATGACAGTTTGAGCTAACGAGGACAAACAACCTGGGAAAAGACAGATCCGATAAAAGCCATCATAAAACCTACCTGTCGAACTCTTCTCGAGCCACAATTTCTCCCTTCTTCATGGCTTTGATGGCAACGATCTCTCCGTGTTGCTTCGTCCACGCCAACATGACCTAGAGCATCAAGAAGAAGCCAGGGATTCTCTTTACATCAGCAGGTACACATCTACAGAACTGCCGTAGAGGAAAGTCCAGGGCTGTTGGTGCTTCTCTAGTCATGCCAAATGTAATCCGATGATTGTATAAGCAAGCTGCCAGCGCCAATGTACAGCCCAGTCCCAGAAAATCTAACAGAAGGGCGTAGATTGCACAGGGTCCGGATAGAACTGACCGATACGGTCATTCAGTAACACTGCACATTGGCAATAGGGGGATGTATGATGGTTCACCAGCCATGTACACTTTGCTTTGTGGGTATATAAACCAGTACTGATCCAGATTTGCTCATTGCTGTTTTCTGATGATGGCTTAGTGCGTGAAACTCAGAGATAAAACACTTTCTCTGTCCTCATATTGTTTGTTTGGTTCACCAGTATAAATAGACAGGCCGGAGCTAGCTAACTGCACTGCAATGTCTACTAGTATCGGGTAACTAAAGAGAACACATACAAGATCGACTCCCATAATTCAAGAACAGCGCTTTTCAGTTGTGGACCACATGTCTGCTCAAGCTCTGCAATGGAGACTAGGACTAGGGCAGAGCACATGCGACCAATAAATGACCGTCTGAGTGTTAGCAGATTTGCCTTACAAAGCTAGAAGCCCGATCTGTCGCACTGACCTTTCCGAAGTGCCCACGTCCGAGCACGGAGACAAACTTGAAGTCGTTTAGACAGGACATGGGGCCGCAGAGCGTATCCGAACTGACAAGCTCTTCTGTCCGTGAACATCTGTGAAAGCGCGGGAGAGCAAGAGCAGTGCACGGAATCAGCACGGGAAGGAGGACACTCGCTTGCAGGCAGACACGAGCACAATGCAGGAAGCATATCATCGCGTACGGCTATTGCGTTCAGGCTCGAACAGACGCAGAGCACAAACAGCACGGCACTGCAAAAATGAAAGCGTGACCAAGCAGAGAGCTTTTACCGCAAACAGATCATCCCCGCCACAGTCAACCCTGACAGCGCGCTATGTGCTAGCCAGGGCATGACAGCAAAAAACATAGTGTATTACATCATTCCAGCACCCATCGGTGAATACCAGTAACATAGAAAAGGGATCCCCGCACACATCTATATTCCCCCATTTTACAAGCATAGAGCGTGTAAGACAATGTGTACTGGTACCAGGCCAGTGCAACATCAGTTCTAAAACGGCAGACTCACTCTTTTTCCGCTATCGTTGTGCTCAGCGACGTTGCTACTGCCTCCTGTAACAAAGATAGATAGACAGAGAGTGAAGAGAGAGAAAGAGAGAGAGAGAGAGAGAGAGAGAGAGAGAGAGAGAGAGAGGGGGAGAGAGAGATGCACCACACACACCATCTGAATCAAGAGAAAGGACAGCGCCGAGAAGGCACTTCACCCAGCGTTATGCAGCAACTGGCACACCTCACAAGTACACGTATACATCACTACACACCCAGCTGGCCCAACCAAAGCGCTATCTGCATTCATGCTTGCCTCAGCACAGTGCAAAATGCCTAGCAAAATCCTTCAATCAAATATACACCAATAGCATACAAGTGCATCGTGTATGAACACGCGCGCACATACGCGCTCGCACACACACACACACTATACAGATGGCTACTGGGCACAAATGGCAATGACAATGGCAGTGACAAATGAGAGGCACAACAACGACCAGCAACACCGTCAGTACCTGTATGTTGAAGTAGGAAGGCACCGAGTCGTCGTCCTCACCATCACCTGCACCAAAGCCACCGGAGAACAGGCTACTACTGAACATGGCAGCGACATCGACACCACGTATATCAGATGTAGCCAGGTCATCACTACCGGACGCTTCCGCATCGGAGTTGGATGCATTGTCACCGGCTGTGCTGACTTCAGTTTCCTCCCTGCTGTCCGTTGAGCCTAGCGGTGGCAGATCGATGATTTCCAACTTGCCTCGCTCATCGTCGTCATCACTGTCATTGTACATGCGAGGGCGCAGTCGAACCGGCACATGCTTTTCGTCCTCGCCTGTAGCTGCTGCAGCCCGATCGCCGGCCAGTCGCTGGCTGGCATGGCGAACGACTTCGAGCATCTCCGAGGCAAACGATTCTGAGACACCCTCGTCCGAGAGCGGTGCTAGGTCGGATGAGCTGGTACCAGGACGCGGTGTCAGCGGCTCACTTTGCACAGGCGGAGGTGTCTGGTCATCTTCGACGTAGCTGCTGGTCACTGTTCCCACAGATGCAGGCAGTTCCACAATGTCGGCTGACGATGGAGGTGGTGATGCGACCGGTGGGTCTCTGAACGCTACTTCATCGTCTTCGTCATCACTGACGTCGCTACTCTCAGCGGAATGTTGGCTATGGTGCTCTTCGGTATCCTCACTTTCACTCCACTGTGTGTTTGATAGCGGTAGCGGTGGTTGTGGTGGTGGTGGTAGTGGTGGTAGCGGTGGCATAGGACAGATGGTGCCAGTGGATGGTGATAGTGTAGTGTTGGTATGACAGTGACCACAATCAAGGTACCAAGAGAAAAAAAGACATAAGAGAAGATGAGACACGATGGCAAACACCACTATATGATCAGCAAGCTTACACTTTCAAGAACAGCAAAAGGAGATATTTTCGGTGGTGTAATATTTTCGGCATTCTCCAAAATCGGCGGTTCGGCGGAGAGAAATTTTTTGGTAAACCCGTTTTCCAGGTAGGTGTACTAGTACTAGAACCGACATTCTCGGTGCGTTTTATTTTAGGTAGAAAGTGTCAGCACCGAAGTCACCGAAAATAAAACACCACCGAAAATTTCTGGTTTTACAGCACAGTAAAACCTGCCCTAACCAGACGCCATTGGTGCAGCGGAAACTGTCCTGATACGTCAGGATTCCGCTCGATCCAGGGATGCAAGTTCGATTGGTACAGGGTCCGGGCAACGCAGGTTTTACTGTGGATGTATCACTGGTTTAACAGCCTGATACTGACACAAAGTGCAGCCCATCCGCTGCCTGAACAGAAATCAAAAGTGAATTAAGTCCAGAAGTTGGAGAGCAAACCAAAAGACGCCAGAGACGGAAACTTACAGATTTGATAGAATCTGACGACTTCATATCGTTGAGCTGACCCGTCGAGTCCTCCGACACCACGCCAGCGGTTGTTGACGAGCGACGCCGCTCAGCCGTCGGCGTGGACGGTGCAGAGCGTGACGTCGATGTCGACGACGCCTGACCTTCCGAGCCGAGCGAGAGCAAGCTGCCTGTCTTGTCGCGAGCGGCGCGCAGCTTCTGCAGCGACGTGCGCTTCTTGGAGGCGGGCGATGCCGGCGCTGTGGTCTTGGACGATATGGCCTTGGACAGGCGCGGACTGTTGCTGGACCCACCCTGACCGTTAAGTAGACGTTCCAGAGTCTTCGTTGCCCGCTCTGCAAAGAAAAGAACATGTAGCAAGATGCAACAAGAGTTTTCATTGGTGGACTGGGGCAATCAGAGTAGTAGGGACCTTTCGCACCACGCGTACGGATACGAAACGAATGCTGATTCGTCACCTGGGTTTGAGGATTCGTCAGAGTCCCTGCGGAGAACTTGTTTTCAGGCACGCTCCGAATCCGTCAGGTACACATTTATTTGGATAGGTACACATGTTTTGCAAGGTCCACATTTTTCCCTTGATTCCATGATCCAAGCACGTGTGCGTGTAAAAGCCCGTACGCCAAGCTACCGGCGCCCGCGGCCGTATTCGTAGTTGCCATGCACATTTGCATGACGACTTGCGAAACCTGAAATCTGTTTTCAACGAAACGATTACGAGCCGAATCAAACTTTCGTTTCGCATTCGTTTCGTAGCAAATGCGAAAGGTCCCTACTGTCTTTTCCAAACTTCTTGTACTAAAAAGGAAGAAAAAACTACCACACTCTATAAAGAACTCCAGAGTTGCCATGGGAACGGTCTTACTGTGACTTCATGAAATTTCTAAAACAAAATAACAAAATGCAGCAATGACACAATAATGACAATATGTCATGCGCCTTGAAGGAATGGAGCCAACGATGGAGCCTGGGTGAAAGCAGAGTGCATTTCCAATGCAGCTGTGTCTTACTTGCAACGCGCTGCTGTCTCCTTAACTTGACTCGCTTTCCGCTTGTCTCTGGTGCCGAGTACTGGATCTGTGTGTGACGCGGTGAGCAATAGGGGAGAGAGAGTGAGAGAGAGAGAGAGAGAGAGAGATGTACAATGAGGAAAGCAAGCTCTCACATCACCTCAGCGAAGGTACTGACATACAGTGGAACAAAACCAAGAAGAACATCAGCAAATGTTCATTTCGAAAGACCCTCCCCCAAGCCTCAACTGAAAAGTACAAAGACGTCCGCTATCCAAAACCATCTCCTGCTTTTTGCTATGAGACTCTGCCACTCCCTGCGTTCAACCTAGACAAGGCCGACTGCTCTGGTATGTGAAATCAGCCCGACCCCCCCCCCCCCCCCCCTCCCACCACCCCACACAGCATGCTGGGCTGGCCGGACACTCACCGTGCAGTGTAGCGTGCCGTGAGGTATTACTTTCAGCGTCTGTGTCCGCTGTACCATGTCGATGTATTCGCTGATCTTGATGTAGACGAGACCGACGAGATGTGACACATCACCAGCGAGTAGGAGTACTTCGATTTCTCGTAGCTAAACACACATACACAACAAATACCAGGACACATTTAGCCCGTAGAATCAACATTGACAATACAGGGGCGTAGCAGCCGGTCCAGCTTGGAACCACTCTTTTAACACAATGCCAAAAGTGCCCAGAATGCAGGATTTTGCACTCTAATATCAAAATGTTCCCGGGCGAGAGCCCCCGGACCCCCTTCCGGCCGGACCACCTCCAACGGCGGTGCTACGCGCCTGCAATACAGCTGCAGAACAGTTTAGAACGTCAGGGTAATCGACGGGAGATACGATCCTGTAGGCATGTTTATAGTGCAAGATCAAGTCGGTAAGGGCTCTGTGCATCTGATCAGTATCACCAAAGACTAAACAGGCACAAAAAAGCTCCGCATACGTATTCTTATCTCAACGCTCCAGTATAAAAAGACGCGAGCAGCAACACTATTGCTAGTGGACAACCGAGTAATGCATTTATACGTGCAGCGTACCAAACGAGTACTAGTACATGGCCAGCTCTCAATGGCGAGCGCTGCGCCACTGGTAGTTACCTTTTCTACGGAGACGGTGAATGTCTGCTGCCAGCAATCCCGCTCGGCGAACTTCCACGCTGTGTGGTCGATAGCAGTGTTGCCAGCTACTAATACGGCCATTACACAATCAGCTGCACAGAAGATGAAGAGAAAGGGTAGGTAGTGGTCATGAACTGACTAGCGGTCCAGGTGGAACAGAACGGCAGAATCAATGGTGGTCAGTGATCTTCAACACCACAACAGAACACACCATTGATGAGCCAAGAAAGCCAACGACACACACACACATCATGTACACATCATGTACACACACACACACACACACACACACACACACACACACACACACACACACACCATGTACACACACACACACACATCATGTACACACACACACACACACACACACACACACCATGTACACACACACACCATGTACACACACACACACACACACACACACACACACACCTACGCATGAAAAATCAGCAAGAGGAAGGCAGTGCAAAGGAAACGACACAACGTGCCAATGCTATACTTACAAGACGGCGGTGGTTTCGCAGAGCGCAAGTTCAGACCGAGAGCCGAGGACGACGAGGGAGTGACAGCCCCCGCGGTCGTTGCCCCGACTGATATATGATCAACTGTGACATCGGTTACTCCGGACAATGTTAACACAACTGTTCCCGTCACTGCGGCCGGTTTGGAGAGCTGAACCCGGGAGACGGTCACAGGCTTTTGCTCTTCGCTGATGCTGTTCTTCCGCGATCCTTCCTCTTTGTCCGTCATGTCATCTTCATCCTGAATACGACACACACACACACCATTGGACGCCCATCGCGATGCTACAGCAGAAGCCATAGCAGCTTGTGCTGGGATTGCACCATTCAACAGCTTGCAAGGCTGAAGAACTGATCGCCACTATTCAGCCTGGTCTACACCACACAGCTATGAAGTGGCTTTTTCTGGCCAGTGAATCCCTACTTTTTGGTCTTTTCATTTTTCATACACACACACACACACACACACACACACACACACACACACACACACACACAGAGTCACACACAGAGTCACACACACACACACACACGAGAGTAACAAGACCAGTGTTGCCACATCATTATAGCCAAATATCATTGGGAAAAAAAATTCATCATCCGGGGGCGTTGCCCCCGAACCCCCTCCCCTGTATAGCGACCTCGACACACACACACGCGGCATTGATAAGAAACAAATTTCACGTTTTGCGTGAGACTCAGGCTGAGTTTGCCGATTTTTCTCGAGACAGATGATGATTTCGCTTAGCGCCTGAGGAGAGAGCTATGGAAACACGCGTAATGAGCAGTAAAAGCCAAAAATCTGGATCATGACTTCTAAACCACGCATAAGGTCAAACTTGGACACTGTCATGGCTGTTGTCGGCAGGAGAAGGTCAATTGTCGGCAGGTTGTGACATGCCTCAAAATTAGGCAGGCTACTGACATGTCGGCAGGTGTGGCAACGCAGCAAGACGCATGCTTTCCCAGTCCGAAAGAGCACGCTAGAGCACCACTCACAGTGAGCATAGCTGTCGGTATCTCCCAACACAGCTAGCACAACGTGTGGAGCATGGGTAATTTGTTGCAACTCCGAGTTTCCTGCTCAGTGCAAGTATCAGGCAATGTGAAGATAGTCTTGGCCATGCCATTATTATAATACCGTATTTCTTCTGTGTTTACATAATCAAATGTGGATGATTGCATGCATTTCCAGTCCAGGATGAGTTTCAGCTTGCCTTCCCAGGCCAAAGTACACCCGGGGACAGTATGTTGACACGTGGCCGTGGTAGAGTACAAAGCGAGTTGAACTCAGTCCAGTATGAAAATTCCGTGCAAACACCGCCTCAGACAAGGCTTTGGGTGTAGGGGCGGTGATGGGAGGAACAAGCGAACATATACACACAAGTACAGACAAGTACAGACAAGTACACACACACACACACACACACACGCACGCGCATACAGCCATGACAGGGTCTCAAAGATGGCTCTCCGGTACAAACCTCATAATCCCGTAGTGCTGTCTTTAGCAGGAAGAGTTTTGCCTTGGCACCAGCTAACTGGCATTGCGTCTAAACACACAAAAAAAAACAAAAAAAACATAATTAAAGCTTCCTCAGAAAAGACGGTACACCACGTTGGAAGTAGAGTAGAGCTCAATGAAACCTGATCGTGTGATTCAAGTTTGCGTGCTGAACTAGTGTACACTGCACATCCCAGTGTCCACAGGTCTGGGGCTGCACAGCGCCTGGCGTGACATTGACGCGCACGATCGGATTTCGGCAGGCAACACTGCACATCAATGGAGTAGTGATGCAAGGAAAGGGAGTTTTCGGGGCATAGTACTCGCATTCTCATCATACCTCCTGTTGTCGTTTCTTATTCGTCTCCAGCTTCAGCATGTTCTCACAGCCAGCGATGGTCCGCTCTTCCACATCCACTCTGTAAGATAGGAAATCCTGTTCAGCACAGAAAACGTAGACGTAGACATACATACACATATTGATAAATAATCAAAATTTACGCTAGAGGAAGCAACTTTCGTGGGATAAGAAAACGAGAGAGAGAGAGAGAGAGAGAGAGAGAGAGAGAGAGAGAGAGAGAGAGAGAGAGAGAGAGAGAGAGAGAGAGATTATGTTCAGCACAGAAAACGTAGACGTAGACATACATACACATATTGATAAATAATCAAAATTTACGCTAGAGGAAGCAACTTTCGTGGGATAAGAAAACGAGAGAGAGAGAGAGAGAGAGAGAGAGAGAGAGAGAGAGAGAGAGAGAGATAGAGAGAGAGAGAGAGAGAGAGAGAGAGAGAGAGAGATTATGTGCATGTGTTTGCACATGTGTGGTATGGTGGTGGTGGTGTGTGCGTGCGTGTGTGTGCTAGTGAGGAGAGGTTATGTAGTATTCGAGCAGCCTAAGACAAAGTCACACACGCTGGATGTGTACTTCAGGAATACAATGTACGATACTAATACAAACATATGGCGAAAGTGCACAGATGCACACACACACACACACACGCGCACAGTCTTACTTGGAAAAGCTGCGGTGAGGACATGTAGTCACTTTCCAGACTGGCGCCTCCGTTAGACCCATTGCATTGCTTCATCTTCGTTTGGAGAATCTTCATGCGAATGACCTCTTGTTTTTGCCGTGTTACCTCCAGGATCTGCACCGGCAAAGAATACAAGGATGAGCATACAAGTATCACGCAACACGCGGACACAGCAAGCAATACTTCAATCAGCTGTGTGGTGGATACCAGGCTAAAATTAGTGGCGGTCAATTCGTCAGCCTTGCAAGCTGTTGAATGGTGTAATCCCAGCACTAGTTGCTATGTCTAACATAGCTGTTCGCTATCATTGCTTCTGCGATGGGCAGGTCTGAGGTGTGTGTGTGTGTGTGTGTGTGTGTGTATGTGTGTGTGTTGTAGAGTGGTATTCACATCTTTGTCACATGACTAAATGTGTGTAAACAGTCATCATGGCATCATGTGAACAGTGGAACCAACGTGGCCAGCATATTGTGAAAGAGGTTGAGTGGAGTCGACCAACATGGCTACCCTGTATGGTCATGTGATAGATGTACAACAGCTCTGCTGTAAGAGAAGGCCATGTCCAGAAGAGGCAGCTTGTCACGGATAGAAGAACTTGATTCGAACCAGCCAAATAGCAGTATTCCCAGTGATGCACTCTGAACACAAGCGGTCACCTTACAAGGCATGCAGTATTGGTTGTACGTACAGCAATATGATCACAGGGAGAACTGCCTGGTTAACGGTGCCCTGCGGCAATGGTACTGCTCGCAAGTGCACACTCCCAGGTTGCTGGCTTCTTGCTACATGTATATGTACATACTTCAAGTACATATGATTGCATAGTAAAACCTGCCCTAACCGTACGCCCTTGGTGCAGCGGAAACTGTCCTCATATGACAGAGTTCCTCTTGATCCAGGGATGCACGTTCGATCCCCAGCACGTTGGTGCATGGAAAATCTGTCCGGTCAATACAGGACTTCCCTGGGTACAGGGTCCGGCAAACACAGGTTTTACTGGACTAGCATTACAAGCATCACGAACACATAACATGAAAAAGGACAACCAGCGCAGGGGATTCCCCCAGCAGATCTTGAACGGTACTGACAACACCGAACGATTCACGGCGGACGGCATGCCAAGAGCAGAACAAGTTACTCACCGCATTAGCTTCTCGCCGAGACTTCGAGTCGGACGCCGAGCGGAGCAGGTTCTCTGCACCGTCCTTGACGCGAATCTCGACCGCCAGCTGCTTTTCCAGCAACATCATTCGGTCGGCGGCCTCGTCTGCCTCGTTATTCATTCCGTCAAAGTTCACACTCTGGGGCTTAGAGGAAGGTTCTCCATCTGGCAAATCTGCTGCACAGTCACCGTTGGTATCCGAGTTCTCATGGCGAGTAAAGACGACGTCGTTCTGTTTCCAACACACATGGTTTCATAGAGAAAAGCATACACCATGCGCAAGTGTACATGACCGCAGCGTTTGCAAACACACGCACACACACACACGTGAGCGTGCACGTACGCACACACATACACAAGGCAGATAATCTAGCAACCAGGTACAGCGGAGCAGGCGACAAGGACGGGTCTGGATCCTCATCCACCCCCTCATCCAGGGCAATGCATCATGCAGTGTGTAAGCACGGTATACAGGACAGTGCACGGGTGACACGAGCATGCACCGGACCATACACAGCGCCGTGCTGATGCGTATAACACAGAAAGCCTGATGACCGTAGTAATACGTGAAACTCAGAGTTGTAACAAAGCTTCCAAACTCTCTCTTGTGTAACACAGAAAGCAATGCAGATTGACATGCAATGCAGATTGACATGCAATGCAGATTGATATACAAAGCAGGCACATACATGCGGGCACATGTGTAAGCACCAGAACATCCAACCATGCACGACCTCTGCAATCCTCACGTGCACCGCTGCTGCCGTCTCTAAACAGCACGGTGGCCTACTACATGATGATGCCTCACTTCAACAAGGTCCATACAGTATTTCAAAGGTATTCTGCAGTCGGTGATAGAAAATACCAGCAAATCACCCGGGCCGGGCACGGCGTGGCCTCACCAGGCAACCTCAATGATTTGGTGGGATTTTCATTATTTATTAGAAACTGGCTGCAGTGACCGGGGACCAATGGAATGCATTTCGCATGACACCATGCCGCATAGATATGCATACCCCGACGTCTTACTTTAGAGGCAACACTTAGCGGCTCCTGCTCCTTTGGATCACCTTTCTGCTGACGCGAGGGGCACAGTGAGATAACAGACCAACACAAGAGACGTCGCTCAGTACCGGCTCACACTGGCCACAACAACAACAAGACTGCAGGGAAAGCTACCCTGTCTCTCTCCCCCCCCCCCCCCCCCAACACACACACACCAGTCTTTTTCTTGTACTTACCACATTCAAATCATGGCAAGCGGTTTTGACATCGACCTCCACATTGTCAGGCGATGCCTCGTCCCCAAGGGTCAGAGCGGGAATGGTGTTTCGCTTGCTACCCGAAGAGTGAACTGTAAATCAAGCAAGCAAGAGAACAAAATCATTGAGAACAGATTGAGCACCGGAGCGAGTTTGAGCCCCCCGGAGCGACCAACACTAACGTTACCACAGTCACAGATATGATCCAGTGAACAAGCCATAATGAACATGATGGCACACACATACATACACACACGCTCTCACACACACACACAAACACACATGCACGCACACAAACACAACTATCGGAAATTCGAGATTGGAAGTGACTAGACATACCTCACGATCATGAAGGACTCTCCCGCCCGCCCGCACACATGCAGATATGCACACACACACACAGACTCACACGCATGCACGGACACCCTAGACTCATGGGTTTGCCATACATCTAAACAAACAGTTCCATGCCACACACGGCGGTGGGAGATATACACGTACAGAGCTGTTTCCGACCATAGGCCTTACCAAAAGGACACACTTTACAGACTCAAGGACCAGCAGATAGGCGAAGCAAAAAAAAACAGTAGTCGATAAAGGCCAGGTCGCGCTTTCAGAATTCCCAGCATCCTTGATCTCGACTCAAACAGGTCGCATACGGCAACAATTTAACATGTTTACTGATGTACAAATACAGTCAATCTGATTGGTGACATGGACATGGACATGGTGACATGGTCATTAGACTCTCCAAATGTAAAGTCATGTAAAGTCAAAGCTGTAACTACATCGTCCATACTCTTTGGCAGTGTACTCCCATAGGACAACCACATCGTCCTGATAGGATATTTTTGGGACGTGCTAAAACATGATTCTTGGATGGAAGATGAATGAGGCCGTGAAGTTCAGATCATAATTATGGCACTGTGTGTTCTTGGACATGCGATACTACATGTACTCTGGCATGAACCAAACAGAGTGGGTTTGACTAGCCAGCACTAAGGAATAGTTACAGCAGCGCAGTGCCAGAGCCACGCTGGCCACATGCTGTACAGTACAGGTTGCCGGCCTGCTATCAGTTCTACACAGGTCAACAACATGATTGCCAGGTCCGGTGGATTGCCATAGCCAGTGCAGCAAAGCCGTACCAGCGCAATACGTAGAGTAAAACAGAGCATGTTACGCATAGATTACACATCACATGCATAAGCACAACCACCGACCTCAAGCACGTGCAGGCGCATACGAGCACGCGGGCGAGTACATGATCGGCCACCCCGCAGCGAAATTAAAATTAAAAATTCAATTGACGCATGCAATACAGACGTACGGTAACACCATCACGCGTGAGTCACACAGGTGCAAACACACACGCGCACACACACACACGCGCGCACACACACACACACACACACACACACACACACACGCACACACACACAGATGCGTGCATGCAGACGGCCGGGCAGAGAAATGCAGACGCAAGGTCTACACGTGTTGTTGTGGCATGAAATACTCTCAGCTGATGTGACTTCCTGGAAGCCATACAGCAGTGCCGAGAGAACTTCCCCTGTGACACTATGACACTGTGAAAATCACACAGCCTACAAGCTACAGAACGGTATATCACTGACACACACACACACACACATCACAATACCTGACACAATTATGCACCTCAACACAATCAAAGCACGTACCCGATGAAGAAGATACAGCACGCGCCACCCTGTGATCCGCAACTTGAGAATTTAGAGCCTGCAATTGATCTTGAAGGGACGAAATTCGCGTTTCACATAGCTTGAGAGCCGACGCAGCTTCTCGTTTCTGCTTGTATTTGACGGTTTTAGCGGCCTTTATCAGCCGCTCAGCACCGTCCTTGATTTTCATCTCCTTGCGAATCTCGGCTTTGACCGACTCCTTCATGGATTCCAATTCATTCGCCTCCATCTTTCTCACTGAGAGCGAGAGGTGGCGATGGAGAGACGATGTTTCAACACTGACCCCAGGCGTCGCACACGCCTGTCCACCAGAATGAGCAGAACGGCCAGCACAAGCATGACCGGGTGAGGAGAGGCAGCGGAACAAAGGCATGGCCGCAGCAGATCTCTAAGAACCTACTCTGCTGCTGCCATCCTCGCCTAACAAAAACTCACAAAATTGAAAAGCAATTTCGTGCATAATGCAAGGCAACAAGTTTGATTGCTACATGACAGGCGACGCTGATCAACAATGTCTGCTATTCGAAATTTCTGCCACGCAACGACAGTCTACAGGAATCGAACTCAGATTTGGAATACAGTACATAATTGTAACCAAACAGATTTTCAAGAATATGAAACAAAGGACTGCAGTGGCGAGTGTTTTCAGGGCTGAGCCGATCGTGATCAGAGTTACTTTCAGTCTAACTAAAAAGCAAGTCATGCCAGGCAATGATTTCAGACACGATCCAGTGCATATCGCTCACATACTTGCCCGCGCGAACTCAGCGATTTGGATCGCCGGTGGCGGAACATCACGACACCGACAGACAGAACAGCATCCGCAGCCAGCTCACACCTCGGACATTGTTCCAAAAGCACAAAATCTACATCTACGAGTACAAGAAAAATTCAACTCACAGTGCGTCCCGAGGAGAAGAAGTATCAATGACAACGCGTATACACAAACAGGTGTCAGTGAACTCGGGGAGTGCTGCAACTGTGCAAGCTTCGTCCAGGGCCGTACTTTGAAGTCCTGGCTTCTGGCTCTGCACTTGAGTTCACTCCTACTGTGACAGGACTGCCCACAAAAATTATCTTTTTCCCGGCGATAACCGGCTGGCTTTTCGAAGCCAATGCATACTGTTACAGCATTCCCACAGACAAGAAATCCACGTGGTGATCGGGAAGTAATGCTACCGAAAATGAACAGCAAGCAGGAAGAAGTACAGGCAACGGAGAGACGAGGAGATGAAGGAGGAAATGTGTAAACCAGAGCAAAGCCAAGCTGATCCTATTCAAGCAGTCAAGCAATCCGCTGAAATGGGGCGTCTACAACCTGCTACGCACATGTACACAGTGGAACTGGGGAACGCGGTCACATGTTCACGATATTTTTACAACAGCCAACCAGGATAGGAAATGCGTACACACCCGAGGGTCACACACACTGTACCGCGGTACACACACGCTGGCGCCAACAAGGCAACATACAACAAAGTAGTGAACAGTACAAGTGCAGGCTACAAGGCTTTCCTTGCAAAAGGCGACGAGGAGGACTGCACTTTTGAACTGAGGATCGAACCAGTTTTTTGCTTCCTCGAAGATCAGAGCAGGAATTTTTTTCGCTCTGATCTGTCCCATAGCTACCAAGGCCAAATATTTGATCAGATCAGCAGAACGAAGTTGTTCTTATTCCAGCAGGAAGCTGCTCGATATTGTAGTCTTTGGCTGCAGGCTGCAAGTCGAAATATGCTGGCCAACTTTTGCAAAACTTACATTTGGATTACAAGTATCTCATCTCTCCAAGCCAGGACAGCACAGCAAGATGTGTAAGTGAGGGTTACTGATGTACATCGCATCCAATGCCTAGCGCTTCTTGCAGCACCCGACACTAAGTAAGAGTACTGGAGCTAGTAGCAGGGTCACTGGCAGGTATTTTTACGACTCCCTGGTCACTGAATATGGGGATATCATTATCTGAACGATCAGTAGATCTACTAGCCAGGCATTAGCAGTAACAACTCATCCATGATTGCAGAATCATACCTTTTTCTGAATACTGACCAGCAAACACGAACACATAGTGACATACACACTGGTTACACACAACTTGCACAAACATACACGTGCACGTGTGTGTGTGTGAGAGAGAGAGAGGGGACAACGTCCCCCTGGAAAACGATACTGTCTGCGAGGGTAGCTGTAAAAGCAGTGTAAAGCACACATTCAGCGGCACACACCACTCGCATCTTCCAGCAGCCGTGACGTGACCATGGTGACTCCAGCTCCAGATTTTTCCTTTAAAATATTGCCTGTTATGTGTTTTTACAAATACAAGAGCTTTCAACCCACTAATCTGTGCACACAGATTGACTGGAGTGTTTACATGATGCACTGCACTCGAGCCTACAAAAGCCTCTTGTACGGGCAAGAACAAAGTAATACAGCTAGCGTGTGTTGAAGAAGAAAATGAGCGGAAACGTACTATGCTGTGAAACACGCATGAGGCATGATCAGGGCAAATGACAGCTGAAAAGAAAAGGAAAGAAAACAAACACACACACACACACGCACTCACACAACAACAACAACAACAACAAGTGCCATACGCATGTATGTTAACGGCCAACGCCAAGGCCGACACCATCGCAAATTGCCAGCCCACCGAGACGACGACGTGAACCCCGGAGACGAAGGTCGACAGCCCGGAAAACAGCAAACTGATGGTGGATCCGCACCCAGGACATGACGTTGCTGTAGGACTTGTCCCACCTGGAGGCAAGGCGCATAGCAAGTCGCCGTTGATACGCACGGTACTCTGTGTGCAGTGCACCATCAGTTGAGCAGACCAGCGGGGTGAAGGATGCTCGCAGCTCCTCTGCGGCCGCCTTGTACTTTCTCTTCTTGGAAGAGGCAGCACTGTTGGATACGGCGTTCCAAGAGAGGTTCGAGCGGACGTAGCTGGGTGCGTCGGCATCCACGATGCGGTTGTCAAAGTACGCCACCCTGTCTCCTTCCCAAACTCCCCGGACCAGCCAATCCGCCTGCAGTGTGGGACGGTTGTTGCCATCCTGCACAGGTACCATCACCGGCTCGACAGCCACACCTCCCCATGCAACGTCTGCCAGCCGGGCATCGAAGTCGCGGACATCGTTGTGCCCACGCTTGATGAGCCCACCCTTCATGCAATCCAGACCATGCTGTAGGGAGAAAGCAGCTCCACAGCCATCGTAATGCGACGGGAGAGCGTTCGGCTCCTGGCCATAGCGAATGGCCAACTGATCGCGGAACTGGACCGCCGACATGTCATAACCTTCCTGCTTGAGAGGAAGCACGGTCAACCAGCCGGAAGCGTTGCCATCAATGATGCGGTTGAGGGTCCGCTGTTGGCGACGCGGAAGCGCAGCTCGGAGGACTTTACTACGTTCCGTCATCTGCAGGTCTCGAGCACGGCTGACCTCGCTGGTGACTTGACGGCACTGGCTGATGTGGTGAGCCATGTCGACCGGTGCACCGGTGCAAATGGCAGCCTGCAGAATCTCAGTGGCGCGCTTCGATGTGGCATGAGCATCAGGGGCTGACGTAACGGGATTGGCCAGGCCGAGACCTCCCACTTTGGCTGGAAGGGCCAACAGATCTTGCTCAACGTCAAGCACCTCACGACCTAGCAAGCTGGGGGCGAATACGTGCCGGATAGTGTCCCGCAGGGGAGTATACTCGGTCTCGTTGCCTTCCAACACACTCTGGAGGTAGGTCCACTCGCACGAGAGGGATCTCGTAAACGCGGAGTGTGCTGACTGCGGGTACGCCTTTGCTGCCTTGGCAAGACAGTTGACACCATCGACCCAATCACTCACTCTGCTACGGACAAAGGAAGAGACTCCCTCTGGATCACCAATGTAGCTACCCAGGAAGCGACCGGAGGTGGTGACTTGCACGTTTAGATTGCCGAAGATTGTCTTGGCGGCCTCCACATGATGGGGCTTGACGATCACGATGGATTTCGAGGGCTCGGCGAAGTACCCAAACGCTGGACCCTGCTCAAGGAGGGAGAGGAACCACTCCTTGATTCGCAGCAACCTCCCGAGGCACGACGAGTCGTCTGCGTACCAATTCTGGATGTGATGACTTGGATCCTTGAGACGCTCGATGAGGGGCTGTATGCCGATAGCATACATGAGCATGGCTAATGCCGTAATGGGCAGCCTTGGGTTGTTCCTTCGCAGCTGAGGATGGTATGGGTGCCGGCGCCATTCGGGTCTTTCAGCCCGGTTCAAATAAAAGTACTCCCTTACATGTACATGTACCGTACTCTACCCGTTGTACAGTGCTACCAGTTACCGTATTTCCACAAATAGTAGGCCGGTCTACTATTTTTTCAACCTCGTTCTTACCCGGCCTTATAATTGAGGACGGTCTTGTATTCGAGGACGGTCTTTTATTCTTTCAACCCAGTTTGACGGGGGGGGGGGGGGGGTCTTCTATTTCTCGCCATACAGTTTTGCCCCCGTTCTTCTATTTTCTTCTACACAGTTTGAGCACGGTCTTCTCTTTTTTCCCACAGTTTGAGCACGGTCTTCTATTTTTAGCACAAGAACAAAGACTCATTTAGTAGGCCCGGTCTTCTAATCGGAGACGGTCTTTTATTTTTTCAATCGCCCCCTGCCCCGGCCTTGTATACGAGGAAGGCGTTGTATACGAGGACGGCCTTTTATTTGCGGAAATACGGTACAAGTCAACCCTCCATACTTGGGCCTCGGTTTACCGGTCGAATGACGGTATAACCCGGACCCTGGTTATAATTATGTCAACTATACCCCTTTGTGGTTCGGCTTTTAGTTCCTAAAAGGTCGACTTTTAATTAACCGGTGCATGCACTGTACATGTACATGTACATGTATGTGTATACTTGGTACCAGGATAACATGAACATACGTGTGTACATGTAGTACTGCATGCTCACATTTCCCCAAAGTGACCGCACGGCCCAACAATACTCCATATATGGACCGGGCCCTTAGGGAACTCCAATTCCAACACAACCTGGCGCACGCTTGCTACAAGATGAGCGTAAACAGTCGCAGCATTTTTAGACATCACTTTTCTCACCCCTTCTTTGAAAATCACAAGACCAGTGTAACCAGGCCAGGTACAGATACTGCACTGTGCGCCGCCTGAAGTAGCATGAGTGATGTGCTTTTTCTTTCTTTGCATCATCATGTTATGCGGTCAATAAAAACACGCTTCCATGCATGGACGATATTGATAGGTTTGCAGTTTCTGAGTTCATCGGTGTGAAGACTGGGGCATTCCGATCACTCCTCAGTGCAGGGTGCTCATAGTAGAGAAGCCAGTGCAATCCACAAGCGGCCGCTTGCTACTCCGCCATGCACTCTCAAGTCTCATCTTGACAGCTACTGTATAAATCGCGAGCAAGCATCTGCCCTGGCCTGTCCTTTTGGAAAAATGTGGACAAATTTCTAAATTCTGCAAGAAGTCCCAAGGGTGAAAAGAGAGTTATTCTGCGGCATTTACTGCAGTACAATGAGAAATGGGCGGCGCTTTCTGTGAGTTTTTACCAACCTCATGGACAACGTGACAGACATACAACACGTTTCACATTATTCTTCGCCATCGCAAACCGAACAGTCTTGGCCAAAGTATGTTCACCTTTTGCAAAAGGTGAACTTCGACCAGCTGTAGCATTGGCCTTATGACTACATGCGGCAGTGCGCTGCAGGCATTTCCTTGTCTCAAGTGTTGCATGTCGCAGTGTAGAAAGTGATATGGAGCTATTGTACATCTATCACGTGCCATACAGGACAGCCATGTTGGTTCCAACCAGGGAGTAGTACAATACCTGCATTTTACTATTCCCTGGTTCCAACTCCACTCAACCCTGGCATCTATGGGTCACGTGATGTCGGCCGTGTTGGATGCACTGTCCATGTGCATGCCATATTCACAAACAGCTTTCTACACAAATTTAGCCGCGTGACAGAGATACATGTATGAAACCACTCTATTGTGAGTTGTGCTTCAGATGCAAGATTCCACAGTTACTCACTGAGTCAGATACTACATTGTAGCTAACTCCGGGGAGTGTTGCGAAAGAAAATCTCAAAATGCCTGATTTTCAAGATACACGGTCGGCACATAAGCCTGGTTTTAGTGTTGACATAACTTTGTGGTCACTGTCCTTGTTACACAATCTCCAAGAATAAGGGGTCGGCGCAAAAGCTTTGCTGTTCCTGGAATGAACATCGTTCATGGGGGACCCAAATTAATTCCTGAGGGGGGAGGCGGTCCGAGTGCGATGTTCGTTTCAGGGACGACAAAAAACTTTACAATAACCCCTAATTGGCCTAAATGAAAGCAAGCACGCATAGGTAGTGGGGGGGGGGGGGGGGGGGTGAATGATCTAAGACCATGACTGAGACCCAGAGGGTGCGGTGTTGGGTCTTTGACCACTTTGCCTTGGATCTGATCTACTTCCCGATGCGAACCATAGCATTAAATTAATTTCATTGTTTGAGATGAAAGTATTCAGGTTAGTATCTCAATTTAAAGATCTAGTCTTAGATGCTCAAGAGGAAGTTTGAGACTGCAGTGGAAGGCTGCGGCATAAAATAACTTGTGGACACGGGCCAAATAGCTCAAATCAGCCAGTTTGATTCAGGTGTGCACTATGTTATGTACGGGTGCGAGGTTAGTATGTACAGAAAATAACAGTGACAATGTCCGTTGCAAATCAACTAAATGTAGCTTCTTCCCGAGCGAAGAAGAGTGCAATCCAGGTTGTACTGGTGCTTCTAGTGTGGGTTACATGAACTAGTAGTACTAGCAGTTTTCACGGTTTTCGTTTTCTCTCAAGAAAGTAATATTATATTCATTGGTTTGAAGGCAAGTTATTTAACGAGGAAATAATTCCACACGAGAACCAAAGTTGAACAGAGTGTGGCAATACTCGGATTTCTTCTTGGCCACGCCGTCGGTTGATGTAGGCGAGAGCTGCAGTCGTGTGGCAATGAGCACACTGGCGATGCCGGCGCAGACCTGTGCACGCGGTGGCATTACTCGGATTTCTTCTTGGCCGCGCCGTCGGTGGACGTGGGTGACAGCTGCAGTCGCGTGGCAATGAGCACGCTGGCGATGCCGGCGCAGAATATACTGGCCACACCGGGCATCAGGATACCGCCGAGCTCGGTGAGCACGCCGGCGAAGAATGGCGCAATCATGCGCGCAAACGACATCACCGACTGGCCCACGCCGAGCATGGCGCCGCGCTGCTCCTGGCTGCCGCGGTCAACCGACAGGTGGGTAAGATTCACGCGAAACACCGCACCGGATAACGATAGCGGTATCATGCTGACGACAAACAGCGAGTAGCTGGGCGCGAACGTCATGCCGGCCTGTGCCAGTGCCATCAGGCATGCCATGTGCACGAGCAGGCGGCGCGAACAGCCGCCGTACGCCTCCGTCACAGAGCCGACCAGGAAGGACGAGGTGGCGCCCATCAGGCCCGACGCCGACATCAGGTAGCCGTTGTAGATGGGCGTGCTCTGGAAGCGCATCTCCAGGAACAGGCTGAAGTTGGAGCGGAACAGGATCATGGCAAAGCCCATCGCAAAGCGGATCAGCATGATATCCGGTACCTGGTTCACACGTGGCAGAACAGGGGCGGGGGAGTAAGGAAACAAGCATTGGAGAGAATGTGAATGAGCAAATTGTGCAAACATGCAGAATGTGCACCATCGCAAGACCTATCCAGGACAACACAGTAAAATACTAAAATCCATCATGAGGGATCACTTGTGCTCAGACACATTGGCCATCCGATTCATCTCAGTCAACAGTGCATGTGTTCAATACACATGCACAGTGAATCTTCAGCACGAAGCTTAGAACTCAAATATTTCTGAATGGACTGTTGCACTCCCAAACACCACACGCGTGCACACACACAAGCACACAGGTGACCTACCTGTGTCCAGGTGATGTGCCACAGCTGCTGCAACAGCTCCAGCGGCCTGACCTGCGAGGGGCTGATCTCGGGGTCGACAAACTTCTCCTCGGACTCCTGACGCCGCACATCATTGCCGGCTGCTCCTCCCTTGGCCATCTTGGCGGGTATCCAGCGTGGGACAATCAAGGTCAATAAAAAGGCTAGAAAGAACATCAGCACTGTCAGCATGCTACAGATGAAGAATCCGTTCTCGCTGGCCGACGCAATGTGGCCGCCGATGGTCGGCCCGATGATGAACGCCCCGGTGGAGATGGCGTTGTAGTGGCCGAGGTGCTTGGGCCGCTCGCTGTGCGGAACAAAGTCCGCCAGCCATGTCCTGGCCACGCTCAGACTGTGTTTGAAGAGACCTGGAGGAAGGGTAGTAGGAGGGGGGGGGGGGGGGGGGAGAGGAAAAGACACGAATAATCATGATGGCGCCACTATCACAATGGCCAATCGGCCTAGACACTGCATGATGGATAGAGTTTATTGCCCTTCTTCAAACTTTCTCCTCAAGTCTTCAGCACTAGCTACTACATGTAGATTGACAAACCCATGAACTACATGAACAGGTGCCATAACACATGCATGTACAGGATTCTAGCCGAAGGGGGTGGGGTAGGGCAGCACCCCCCCTACTCTGTTTGCCCCCCCCCCCCCGTGAAAATATGCCGCCCCTTACTCATTTTCCGATTTTTGTGTTTTTTAAATGCCATTCAATGCATATGCAGTCGATAGCCAGTACAAGAGGGTTCATAAAGGCACATTTGCCTGGGGTGAAGTCAGGTTTTCGCCCTGTACATTACATTTCGCATTGGAAGACAGTTATTCTGAAAATGGAAAAAATGGGGTACAGGTAACTGTTTCCCTGCCCCCCCCCCCCCCCTACTATTTTGACCTGGCTAGAACCCTGATATACTTATAAACGGGTGGAGGTGAATGGTAAGCATTCAGGGCATCAGGAATAAGCATGAGCCCTAGCGGATCATTCGACTATTGATGATGGTAACACTGTCTATGCAGGAGCAGAGGCATAGGTCAGTGACCCACACCCAAGCCAGGACATGCCATGGGTCACTGCATTCGCCATTGCAAGGCAGGTGTTAGGAAATAGCTCACCGGCCAGGACCCTTGCCACGATCAGCACCCATAGCATGGTGCTGATTCCTGCAATGAAGTAGGCAACCATGGCTCCAACCAGGACCACCAGTAGCACAGAATGGCGGCCGTAGATATCACTAAACTGACCCTGCACCGAGTGGATGTACAGACAACAGAGAAGAAGAAACTCATTCATGGGAATTGCAACATGATAGATACGCGCATAGGCAAGACCCAGGAGGCAACCTCCGTGCTTGCAATCATATTATACTGCCATTAAATCACACCATGTTTGTGAGAAAGAAGCATTTCGTGTGTGAAAAACGAAAAATAGGGATTCATTGGCCAGAAAAAGCCACTTCAACCAGCCGTGTGGTGTAGACCAGGCTAAAATTAGTGGCGGTCAATTCATCAGCCTTGCAAGCTGGTGAATGGTAATCCCAGCACAAGTTAGTTGCTGTGTCTAGCATAGCTTGTTCGCTATCATCGCTTCAGCGATGGGCAGGAGTATGAGTGTGTGGTGTGTGTGTGAGGTAGGTTCTTTTCGGTAGCAAGATCTATCTCTAGAATCAGTAAGCCAGCACTCAGCACTGGGGTCGTCCATTATTATCAATCTTTCAGACAAAACGAAAAAAGTTTCGTTTATGGGTGGGTGGGTCGAGGAGAGTTTCGTTATGACAATGTTGATGGTTGAAACATCAATGCATTTTAGCTGTCAAGTCAATATTATTTTCGTTCAGGGGGGGGGAGGGTCATAACTAAACTTTTTTCGTTTCGTGAAAATTATCGATCATGCCGGATCGCTGATGGCCCCTAACCAACTGAGACATACATACGCATCACTTTCCCACCATCATGTGTTGCGGGACAAGTCCACTACAAGCGTACACACAGTGCAGTGACCTAAGCTCTGCGTGAAAGGTCATGGACTGTGTAAAGGCGTACACACAAATGCAGCGGATCCGCGGACTTGGGTGTACATGCACCTGCCAAATATGGGACAAAATAGTTGCCCTGTATAAAAAAACAGATTTGTGTCCAGCACCCAGCAGAATTTCTGTAGCACAAGTGGCGCATGCAGGATTACAAAGGGTCCCCTGTATTCTCTAAAGATGCCCATTTGAGGCGAACGTTCAGAAAAAAAAGTTCAACAAACCCCATCAGTGAGCAGTAATCCTACATGTAGCTGTAAAAATACTGAAAGAGATGGGGCTCTTCCCTCCAGCAAGGGAGCAATGCACAAAAACAAAGGGAACATACCACAAGTGGACCTGTAAATAATTGCAAGGCGCCATACAGGGAACCTAGAGGCAGACAAAAAGCACAACAAAACAAAAACGTATAGTCGGCTAACACACAGAGGGAGAAACGAACGAGGAGTTCGTTTTCCATCTACAGCTTTCGGTAGAAATTACAAGAAACTACTTCGTTCGGTTCAGGTGCCCTTTTTTTCTACCCAAGCGGTAGATTCTACTTCTACCTCCACCGGCTCTAGCAGATTTGAGGCTGCTAACAATCATTAGATGTACAGTGTTTCTGTGTTTGTAGGTGCAAGACAGCTGTTTTCCACAAGATGTCGTACACCGTACCGTAAAGTGTAAATGAACTCTATTCTACATGCAGGCAAAACGAACGCAATGGAAGAACTCAATTAAAAAAAGTTTGAAATAAGAGAGCTCGTGTTCAGGTGCTCTCACTCCATACTTGGACCCACGTTGGAATCTGTTTGCCCACAAAACTTCCCCATGCGTAGCAATCATTCAAAAAAATAATGTTATTGAAACCCCATGTTTAGACGTACCCATAGCTCCTAAAGTCGACGGACTAGCGCCTAGAGATCGGGCATGGTGTGTTACCAGCGGTATTATTAGACTCACACCAAGCAGATCCTGTTTGGTATAAACACACACGTGCACACACACACACACACACACATACGCACGCACACACACACACACACACACACACACACACACACACACACACACAATATACAATACAATACAATAATGCCCATCCGAAGATGATGGCAGGTCCTGAAAGGACCGACACACACACACACACACACACACACACACACACACACACACACACACACACACACACACACACATACACACACACACACACAAAACTCAGGTATGAAAAAATTGACTGGTAGCGCAGTAGTTGTATGACAGCGTGTTTGATTCCAGGGCATTCTCTACTGAAAATGGCTGTGTGTGTGTGTGTGTGTGTGTGTGTGTGTGTGTGTGTGTACGTGTGTGTGTGTGTACGTGTGTGTGTGTATGTGTGTGTGTGTGTGTGACTGTGTGTGTGTATGTGTGTGGGTACGTGTGTGTGTGTATATATGTGTGTGGGTACGTGTTTGTGTGTGTGTGTGGTGTGTGTGTGTGTGTGTGTGTGTGTGTGTGTGTGTGTGTGTGTGTGTGTGTGTGTGTGTGTGTGTGTGTGTGTGTGTGTGTGTGTAGGTGTCTGTGCGTGGGTATGCGCCAACCTGTTGGAAGGCTGCATTCCTGCCAAAGTCATTGGACGAGTTTCAGCCCCACAACTGAGCACACTGCTCCATAGCTAAGTAACGCCCATTTCATTACAATAATCATACTGTTGCAGCTTGTGTCTGCCTCCACTGAAGCTGCATGCCGTCTATATAGGTGGTGACCTGAGCAAGTGTAGGGTGTGCATAAGTTACTGTCTTGGCCGTTATCCCAATGTATTGTGTACGGTGCAGACCAGGTGCACCCTTGGGGGGGGGGGGGGGATTTACATGTACATGTACACGGCTTTGTCAATTATGTGGATTGGGCAGTTGCCCGTTGCATGTCTTGATCTGGTTCATTCAGATCTGGTACAATGTGTGTGTGTGTGTGTGCGGGTGTGTAAGTGTGTGGGCGCGCGCGTATGTGTGTGCGCGTACACATGTATGATACTGCATGACATGAAGTGTGTAAATATGTGCGTGCATGCACGCTTTCGCCGCTCTGCCGCACCGTCGACTCTGCACCATCATAGACAGAATTTTGGTCGTGCTGCTAGCATCAGTATACAACAAAGACTCCCACATCTACTAACTTGGCCCAAGTTTGCTTACCAGGAATCCAATGGCGTGCATTGCATAAATGATGCGCAGTGCTCCACTGCTTCTGAGCGAGTCTGTGCTATCCATATTTCTAGAGATTTGTTGCTGTTTTTTTTTGTGCTGGGCTGCAAGAGAACAGAATGCACAGGGCAGGGATATTTGTGCGTGGAGGAGAGGATCTGCAGTCACTCTCTCCCAAGCACAGGGCCGTGTTCGTCCAACGACCCCATGCACTCACCAATGCATTGAGGCAAGAATGATAAAATAATTTTGTGTACTTACAAGAAAAATAATGGTCAGCAGGCAGCGATCCTGAAATTTTCTACTCCTATCTGCTCCAATACTACTGTATTGTGGTGTTTCGGAGGCCAGACTAACACTGCCGTCAGCAAAAGAAAACAGAGAAGTGCCGTGCCACAGTCCCTGGCACACTCAATAAACTCTGCCCCTCTCCTTTCTCTGCACCAAGCTAACAAAGTAACTAACTAATTTTAGTTTAGTTACTTTGTAGGTTTACGTCTTGATTGCAGTTGTTGCACCAGCACACTCACTTCGATCATCCCATCATTTTTTGTGAGGCATGCATGCCTTTCTATTTTTGAATGATGTTTCCACGAAGCTCCGAAGGCGCCATGATCGTCACTGCACTACAAGTGCAGTGGTGGTTATATCCCGACTCTACGTCTACGACCCCAATAAACCTTGAAAACGCAATAGATTCACATGTAGCCGCTGATCAGGGAGTCCGAGTACCAAACTGGGTTTGGGTCACAACTCCGTGATGTAGATCATGAACTGACTCTGTAGTTACTAATAATACTGCCTCCTGCCATGGCTCCAGGAGAGATAGAAAAGAAAAGCCTTGAAGGAAGAGATTCAGAGCAGGTATCTTGTCAACTCCATCACTCAGTCACAAATGTCGTTCACACCACTGCACACCGGACGCGGAGAGTAAAACAGAGCTCATATTTCTGCAAACAAAATTAATAACGTTTACAATAGATTACTAGTACATTATGTACTTCTGAGCTACTTGTGAGCTGCACATGCATGCGAGCAGCCAACATCAAATTCCTAAACCATCAATCTCTGCCGGATACAACTGAGAAACTCCCAGGCATTTTACAGGACATAGCCCAGGTCACATTGCGCAAGACATAGGATCAAATAAATACCAACATCATGGTTTGACTGGGAAAACAAAACACAGTACACAAATGCATGTCCGTTATTTTAAAAGCTTTGAAATGATGCTAGGCCGGTCACGGTGAAAAAAT